ATGATATATTGTTTCCTGTGCACTCGAAATGTACCAATTCTTCTTTCCACGTTTGACGTTTTCAGCTGTGTTTATTTTAGGTTATGACACTTTTACGGTTAAAAATGCCCTGCACTCTATCCGTATCTGACAAACAGCCTTTTTAAATTTGAAAAAATAATTGACAATTCGTAGTATTTTTATGAAGAAAAATTGCATTTGGAATGATTTTGAATGTTACGTAATATGGGTTGTCTACATATCACTATGTCTGCGGCATTAAAAAATTAAAATAGCAAAAAAGTTATATAGATTTTTTCTGCCTGTTGACTTTTCAGAATACTTGAGTTTGAGTTTCATAGGGTTGTTAATTATGAATGATTCCACTACTTGGAAGTGTTTTACTGGTGTGTATAATGTATAAGGTATAGTTATGGTGATCTGTAATGTTTCAAGTAAAGACTAAAATAATAACGGATGATCTGGTTAACACTGGCTGGTTGCCCCTTTACTTTTAGTTGTCTGCTTATAATTAGATTATAGTGTCCCACCAAAAAATGGATTTATATGAAAAGTAATTGAAAATGTCAAGAAAAAGCAGAGGGAAGGGAGATAACTCTTTAACATATCGCCTGAACTGTTGAACTTTAGCATTAAGGAAGTGTGTGCCATATCACATTTCTATTATATACAGGAGTCGAAAAGTTTTGTTCCTGTTAAATTCATGTCATTTCCTGTATGTTCATGCAAAGACAGTGATAGGTTGCAGTCAGTTTGAATGAGATTAAAGGAGTTTAAAATGTTGGAAATGATCCCAAATCATGTTGTATAAAAAGTACGACCATAATTTTGATTTTAAACAATGATGACTGGTAGTGCTGTCATCTGTCTATTCTTAATAAAAGTGCAGATGGTGCTCAGATTTGACAAAATTCAGTTAGTTTGTGAATTAAAGCTCCCCATACCAGTGCCAAAAACTGTAGCTAAACATGAGTAACGTTTTTTTCCAGCATAACTATAGGTTTAATAAATGATTTCTGAGAAGGAAACCAGACCTTTCAGGACTTTTATAAAATGTAGTGAAATAAACATAATATAATCTATGACAGTGTTTTAAAAAAATGAGTAAGGCTAGACCAGGATTTGAACCCAGGACCTGATATTGTTTAACTGTCAATCTATCTGATTCAGCTACCTGGTCAGTGGAAGTGTTGTAGTCCAACTGTGCTACAGTTTTATCTAAAATAAAATTAAGGGGAAAATACTACAAAAACCCCAGAGTGCAGTTGGACGAGAATCCTTTAAATGATTTGAGAGTAAAAGATTTTGAAAGACATAATTATTATTTTTCAGAAATTTCATAATTAACCCATTCACCCCTGAAGTTTCATAATGAACTATTCCAACCTTTGAATGGGAAGAGTTTAAATGTGTCTTCAGGGGTGAATGAGTTACACAGTCTTTAATATAAACCATTTTTAAAAGCAAGTCCATACAGGTGGCACCGCTCCTTGTCCCGTTTCTATGATTCTCAAGGGAGTCTAAGTGTCAGACTGAAGTGGAGGCTGGTCAGCTGGACAACTGGACAGCTGGTCAGCTCTACACTGACCTTGGGGCTGGTCAGCTGGATAGCTGGTCAGCGCTACACTGACCTTGGGAACTAAATGCTGTCATAATTGAGGATTTCGGTCAGGGACAAACGGTCTGGTGAGGGACAAAAACGTCTGGTGAGGGACCAGACGGACAATGGCCATTGATGTAAAAGTGCCAATTTGCCTGTTAGGACGAAATTGTTCCATCAACCTTAACTTGGAGAGCCATTATCAAAACTATGTAAAAATAGAAAATAATAAAACTAGCAAACTTACCTTAGAAAGCCATTATCTTAGAATAGATAATAATTAAAACAAAGACAGGAAGAGAAAAAAAACACCTAATATTGTAAGATTTTTTTTAGGGGTTTATACTTGGAAGTTTAACTTAAATTATTAAAAATCCTGACATGTGCAGTTTTCACCTATATATTTTTTTTAACTATGAAAAGATTTCATTTTATCTAACATCTTTTTAAGCTTATATTGCTTTGAGTAACCATTCCCACTTGATTGCTTTTAAAATATATGAATTTTCACACACAAAAAAGAAAATTCTGTAGCAAAAGTAGAAAAATGATTTTAAAATGTTCTGTATTTTACAAATGAAATAGATGTTTTTAAAATAAATCAGAATCAGATCATTTATAAATACCCCGTTGTTTGCCCCTAATGACTCAATAAGGGTCAGTTATTATCTCCCTTTGTCCTTGGGATTTAACTGCAGTGAGTAATATATGGAAGTCTTGAGTGACAGATGAGAGACCCAGAACCATTAGCTCCAAGATTGATCAGGCTAATACCATGATACAAGTTAAGATGACACAGTAATCAGTTTTGAAACAAGAACTGATTTTCTAATATATTTGTATGCAAAATGTCTGCCGGAAGACATTTAGTTTTATAAAAGTAGGCTGGTTTTGAAAGACCAATGAATATGTATGGCTGGGTTTTTTAAATATTTCTTTTGGAAAATACTTATTTAAGCTAACCATTCTTTAAGTGAGCTCGGCCTCAGGCAGCTTGCTTCATTAAGGCTGTAATGAGGTAATGTTTCATCTTACAGCCATTTGTTTTGTCTAGAAATAATTGTTACTACCATCAGGTTATCCCATCTAATCCTCAAAATATCTAATAACATCAAGCTTAAATTCTCAAACGTATCCAGTAATAATATTTTTCTCAAAAATATATGGGTTTTTTTTTAATAATGTTTATTAGCTCATTCACCCCTGAAATTTTGTAAAGAACTATTCCAGCCTTTGAATCGGAAAATTTTAATGTGTTTTCACGGGTGAATTTGATGGAAACAAATTCTCCACCAGGTTTGATTATTTCCTGATACAGCTGAGATATACATATGTTTAAACTAAAGAATTATCGATCGTGTATCCTCACAGGGGCGTGATACAGAACCCCACCAGGTAAGTGTATTATGGGTTATCCCCCTGTGTGTGTCCGCACAGAATCTTAAACATGTAACAGCATGTTCATTTAATTAACGTTTCCTGATATTTCCTTCACAGATTTGATCTTTTTATCATTTCCGTTCATTGATAAACAATTTTCCTCATAGCTTTAATCATTCTGATACTTCCTTTAAAAAAATGACTTAATTACGAAAGATGAAAGATGATGTGTCTCATTATTTCCTTATTAGAAATCATTGTACTATCTCAAGTATTTTTTTTCATTTTTAAGCCGAAAAAGATTTTTTTAGATTTCAGTTAACATGTCCTGTCAGAATTTGCTATGTATCGTATCATGCAATGCCACGTTGATTACAGTTATGAGTAATAGGTACTGAATTGTACTGTTTTCACTCTGGTGTGACATCCGACAACGTTTTGGACGTTGTGATCTTTTCGTGCTGAAGATCTTGGTTTTGGTTTGAGCAGTTGTGATTACGTTGACACGCCCACGACAATGGCCTAACATGTGTGACATGAAGAATCGCAGAGAGCGCGCAATTTCTGTAGGAGTTCTTTTGAAATGATCGAATGACAGCTACAAGTATAACAGGAGAGAACACAGATGATGTTAAAAACTTTAAAAGGATCAAATGATTAATTCAATTTGAGCATCTGTGTTAAGTGAAATCAGGACTTGGTTCTTCAAAGTATGAAAAGCTTTATTGATATTTTTAAACCACGTTTTTATGTCAGATTTATTTCTGAATATGCCAATTTATATCTTAAAGTTTATGTTAAGATATTAAGAATGATCGTTTGAGCGTAAAAAAAAATGTGAATTTAATAAAAAAAAAAATACATGGGGGAAATCTGTCAAAATATTTTCATCATTATTTGGTTATGCTGACCAATCTTTTAACTTCCTGTTCCTGAAAATGTGTTTTATCAGTGAGATCTTTAGAGTTGTAGTAGAGCACAGAGGCAGGTTACCGGTGACATGACACACGCTCATTAGTCCCTATTCACTACTACCATTACCTGTGATACACTTATTCTGAGACATTAGCTCCATGGCAACCTTCAGTTTTACATCCCTACAATGATAAATGGACTCATCAACCTTCTTGATATGACAGTTCATTATGAATCCATGGGGGTGGTCAGGGTCACATGCGAGAAATGTGTCGCCCTCCCCATATTGATGAATGGATGCACCAAATTCATTGATATTGACAGTTCATTTTAAGTTTATAGGGTGGTCAGGATTATTTATTGGAAATGTGTCACCTTTCTTTTGTTAATGTCAATAAGTTTTTTAATTGTTGGAAGTCTTAATTTCATAATTTGTTGATGTCCACATTTGTAATAAAGTAATTGAGGTAGGATTAGTTCGTTACATGATTAGGAGGTTGTACCCCCTAAATACAAAACAATAGTTCTGCTTATTATTGACATATCCTAAAATAAAAATGTTTATCATTACAACTTAAATATTTGTTATATACTACTGAGAAAATGGAAATAAAAAGTGGATATCTAATTTTTTGTGTAAGACAGAAAAAGACGGAGAGGGGGAGAGAAAGAAAAAGAGATTACAAAAGCGTACCTCATTATTCAGATTTATTTCTTTTATAGGAACTTGATAATTGTAAGAAAATCATTTTCTAACCTTTTGATATTTGGATACTTAATGAATACATTTCAGTGACAATCCTGTTTTTTCAAATTAAATCATTATTCTAAACCTGTATGACTACACCTGTATTTATAGCCGTTATTTTTTACTACACCTGTATTTATAGCCGTTATTTTACTACACCTGTATTTATAGCCGTTATTTTACTACACCTGTATTTAAAGCCGTTATTTTACTACACCTGTATTTTTAGCTGTTATTTTACTTACTACACCTGTATTTATAGCCGTTATTTTGCTACACCTGTATTTATAGTCGTTATTTTACTACACCTGTATTTATAGCCGTTTTAACCTGCTAATATTTTGATGTGTTTTACAGGTATACCGTCATCACTAACGGGTCTTTATTGATCGGAATTGTGCAGCATTCACGTACGGCGCCGCGGATGTCAGACAAGGGCATTTACCAGTGTGTGGCGTCTGTGGAGAATGTTGGTCAAATTGTTAGTCGCAAGGCGCAGCTAGATATTGCACGTGAGTTGTTTCCCTTTGTACTGATGGGAGTGCATTGCTTATAGAAAGAATGGTGGATGATATTATGATACTGACTGTCATATCTTCTAAAAATGGTTTGCACAGAAATGATGTGTTCACAAAGTATTAGTGGCTCTGAACACTTACAAACATTATTTTAATTTGTTTTTAAGGATTGATAATGAAAAACATATTTTTTGAAATAATTTTTTTTTTTTATTGTTTTATTTTGTTCAAAGTACTATTTAATTGTTTCATTTTCTTTGTTTCAGATTTATCAAAAACATTCGACATTCAACCTCATGATATGACTTTATATTTACGGGACGTAGCAATGTTCCGGTGTGAAATAGACGGGGCCCCACCCCCTAATATTACGTGGTTTAAAGGTGGTAACCCACTTCAAGATAGAACTAATATTAAAATATTTACTGATGGCGTATTAGAAATAAATCCTGTAGAATTTCGAGACTTTGGATCATATCATTGTGTCGCAGAAAGTTTAGATAAAGTGAAAGCGAGATCGAGTCGGACAGCAATATTACGACAAGATGCAGATATAGGTAAGACCATCTCTTTGCTTTTGGTGTACTGGGATCTACCATGTGATATACTTTATAATATATAATGTAAAATTGTCTAAAAAAAATAAAATAATGTTTTGTTAAATCGTGTGTAGAAATACAGATTGTCATGTATAATATTTGAAGCCCAGGACATGTTTGATTTTATTTTAAGAATTTAGAAATCATGGAAATAATCAGATTTTACTATAACATATATCTAGTAATTGTTTGTAAAATCACTATTTCTTCTTATACCTTTATGAAAACATATGAACACCTGTCTTAATATAAATTTCTTTATTGCTATTTTTTTTTTATCTCACCTGGCCCTATAGGGCCAAGTGAGCTAATACCGTGGTGCGGCGTCCGTTGTCCGGCGACAATATTGTACTTTAAACAACTTCTTCTAAATAACCAAAATGCCTTAGGGTGATAATATTTGGCCAGAAGCAAACTGGGATGAAGGGCTCTACTAAGTTTCTTCAAATGAACGCCTTCATCCATTTTGAACGCCACATGGGTCAATTGTCTTAAAATCTTTTAACAACTTCTTCTGATAACTTAGAGGCCTAAGATAATGATATGTAGCCAGTAGTAACATACTAGGATAAAAGGCTACTAAGTTTTGTTTAAATGAATGACCTTTACCTATATTCAAGGTCACAGGGGTCAAATATGTTTAAAACCTTTAAACAACTTCTTCTGAATAATCAAGAAGCCTAGGATAATGATATTTGGCCAGTAATTTGCTGTGATGAAGGGCTACTAAGTTTGTTCAACTGAATGACCTTCACCCACTTTCAATGTCACATGGTTTAAATATGTTTAAAACCTTTTAAACAACTTCTCCTCAATGCCTAAGAGGCATAGGATAAGGATATTTGACCAGTATCATGCTTAGATGAAGGACTACCAAATTTGTTCAAGCAAATGACCTTCACCCATTTCCAAGATCACAGGGGTCAAATATGTTTAAAACCTTTAAACAACTTCTTCTGAATTACCAAGAGGGCTAGGGATATGATATTAGGCCAGTTAGATGCTGGAATGAAGGGCTACCAATTTTTTTCAAATGAATGACCTTCGCTCGTATTCAAGGTCACAGGGATCAAATATGTTTAAATCTTTAAATGACTTGTTCTGAATATTCAAAAGGTCCAGGATAATGATATTTAGCCAAAAGTTTGCTGGGACGGAAGGCTATAAACTCTGTTTAACTTAATGTCCTTGTTCGACTTTCAAGGTGACAGGCGTCATATGTTTAAATCATTTAATAGATTCAAATGAATCGAAAACAGATATTTTGCCTGTAGCTGTATATTCGTCCACTTTTCAGATTACAAGCGTGAGATTAATACCAGGTGAGCAGTTCAGGCCCATTTGGCCTCTTGCTGTTATTTATAAAACTTTCCAATTGCTATATTCCATTCCTTGATGACAATTTTCGTTTCAGATGAAATTTTACAAGGAATAAAGCCATTGTTTGTGTTACGGCCACAGAACACGTGGGCCGAGGTCGGTACCACTGTTATTCTCTTCTGTGGAGCAAATGGACAGGCCAAAGAGGGGAGACAACCCACTATATCATGGCTAAAAGACGGCATCACAATAGATTTTACGTAAGTCATAAACTCTATAAAAAAAATTGCGTCAAACATTTTACAATGTTATTATTCAATACAAGTGAACCGACATTTTTCAATGTAATCAATTGAAAGTGTTGACCATAAATCCCTTAAGAATATACAGTATTTTTTTTATCTTGAAATGGGTCTGTAGTAAAAGTGTTAAGTAACGAAAACAGGAAAGTCAACAAGAGGTTTCATATTATATACTGTATTGTCACAAGAACCTAACGCTGCCTGCTTTCCACTGATTTAACAGTCTCCCTGTGACATGCAAGGACAAAAAAAGGTCATAAATGTACAAGCAGAGTAATTGAGTTGTCAAACTTAAAAAAAAGACTTGTCTCCATGAAGTTTTTGTACTGAATTTGTGACAGTGTTGAAAATCAATAGAGTTCTAGTGCATGAGGCTAGCTGCAACAGGATAATGTGAAATCTTTATTTTTCGTAAGTTTTTAATTTCTGTGATTCGGTGGGATGTACTCTTCACCCACAAATTCATAGGTCAACAAAGTAATTACAATTTTGACTTAAAACTATCTTCCGTTCTAGTTGCTACTCGTAATCCATGAATTTATTTCCCCAAGAAACAGTGTTTTTAAGGAAATAACGAAATTTGGGCCCCACAAAAATATCTGATTTCACAGTAGTTAGGGAAATGTTTGGTCATTGTGTAGGATACAGTCAACTGGACATTCTGGGCAAAATAAGAATGCCAATTAACTCATTCACCCCTGAAATTACATAATGAACTATTTCAACCTTTGAATTGGAAGAGTTCAAATGCGTCTTCAGGTGTAAATGAGATAATGAATGTCTTCAATGTAATACAAGCCAACCTGCTCAAGCAGCCACCTCGATTAAGAGATCACCTGTGTTGAAAGACCGCTTTTACTGTTTCCCATTGTAGTTATTTCAATGAGGTGAACCTGTAGTTATATAATTATATAATTATCAACTGAACCTCTATGAAGAGACCCCCTTCACATACTTGTACAAATTACTATGGTGGATATTACGCTTGCTCAGAATCAAATGCATATATGTCATGTGTGTATGTACACCCTAAGGAAAAAATAACATTTTCGAATTGCATCATTTGAGCTGTTCTTTCAGGTGAAATCATCAGATCTTAAAAATTTGAAACAGTTCTCTAAATTCACTGGTTCAAAATGCTCAATTTTAGGGTCCAAAATCTGGAGTCTCACTCCTAAATAGGGAGCGTTGTCAAGTATGCCTGTATAAAACTACAACACTTTTTGGACTTCCCAAGTACAGGTTTGACCATTTTAGGATGTAATAATGTGCTATAGATCAATTTATTGTAATTCAGTTTATTTCAAAAGCAGTGCAGCTTATAGGAGTACATGTAATACAATGTAATAACATCCATGTGTTAAACATTGAATGTAATATGTACAAGATAACAAAGTAAAGGCTGAGCAATGTGTAAAAATTTCGCCTCGTGTCATAATTTGACAAGAAATCAACCGTTAGATAAAAATAATTTGTCAGTTCTATAGCCATATATGATATTGTTGTGATGTTTCGTGTTAGAAATATAGTCATTACAATATATGTATGTGCCCCGTTACTGAAATACAGTATGACGGTATGCTTGAGCAATGTCATATTTAGCTATAAACAAAAGTTGATATTGAAATACGAAATGACACTTTATCTGGGAAAGGTAGTTTTTAATGAGAACAAAGCCTCGTTTCTTGTTTCTCAAAATATATATGTTTGTCAATAGAATTTATGGTGATGAAGCAAATGAGAAAATCTGTCAACTATCAGGAAATACAGATTGTCAGATATCTGTATGAATGTATGATTACATTTGCATAGAATAGAAATGATGACATTTCTTGTCAAGTAGAATTACCAAATATCACCCTTTATGAATTGAAGATCTGAATCTGTGTCATGATAAATAAAAGTGAATGTTGTGTGAATTTATACCAACTTAGTGCCTTACTTACCTCTATTCAATACGAATCTTTCATAATTCAGAAAAGAAATATATAGAGATAGAAACAGCTGAATCAAAATTGAAAATCTTAAATCTTTTAATTTGCTGTGTCTTCTACATGCTTGGGATCAAGGGTTCTAGCATTCGTGTTATTATACTTGCTGATATTATGAATGAAATTTTCTCAATACATCAGATTTTTTTTATGTGCTTTGTATTATAATAATAAATCCATGTAAAATGACTTAAGCTTAATTTTTTTAACAATAAAACACCATCTTTTGATTGATCGCATTCTGATGATTACTTCATGAAATCACAGTGTCATACATGCTTGTAATCAGTCCCTTACGCTCATAGAATCTTGGTCTATCAAACGCTTTGCCTTTATATACATTCTTAATCTGTTAAATGCTTTCTTTGCCTTTGCATACAATCATAGTCTATTAAATGCTTTCTTTGCCTTAATTAACATACAATCATAGGCTATCAAATGCTTTACCTGTCACAAACAGTGCTTGTAATCAGCATATCTTGCATGCTTTAATCACAGTCTTGCGCATGCTTGTAATCATAGTCTTCTGAATTCTTTAATTATGGTTTCTCGCACTTTGTACATGTATTACAGCACCAAAGGTACTGATGCCTGTTGTAGGACAGAAATTACAACCTCACATTAACAGTCACGTGATATAGACTTTCGCAATTGGCAGAGAACAAAACTAATCATACACGGCTTTCACCAAGAATCTAAAATAGAATCATCCATATGGCAATATATCTTTAAAAAAAAAATTAAAAAAAATCATAATTGTCTTGGTTAACAAAAACATACATCATGAGTTACTTATAATTACTAGGTTTCAAATTGAGGAATTTTAAATTCGCAATTTTCAATTTCTGTAGATTGTTTCAATAATTGCTTTTTCGGTGCACAGATATTGATTGTGGTTAGTGTAGGACTCTGTGAAGTGTTACTGAAGTACGTGTGATCAGGGACAACAGATTTACAATTACAACACTATCTCTTTAATGTGAAAATTGAAAGTTCAAATTGCTTTTTATCAAATCTATAGACGTAGAAATGGAAATTTGAACCCTGTAATGGGAACCGTTACAGAGTAAATTAGATCTACGTGATATTAAACGGTGTTACAGAAGGTGTGGGTTACAGAGAGCACTACCCTATCACTGGTTATTAATATGCGATTGTTTTCACTACAGCTAAATAATTTGTAAATTAGATGAGTTTTCAAACATGTTCAGTAAATGGAAATATAACAAATACCCAGGAGAAGCGTTTATGATATAATTGTTTTAGAGATTAAACAAAATATAAGAGGATTCTGTGACCTTGGCTTATGTACTTTTGTATTTAGAAATAATTTAGACCAAATATCAGGGGAATATCTTGAATGTTCAGCTTGTATAAATATTAGTCCCTACACCAATATCAGAGGGGACTAGCGCTTGCAGTCCTTCAGTCCGTCCTTGTGTTATTTTGGTTAGGTAATATCTTACATGCTAGATTGTCCAATAGAATTGCCAAATTGTGTATGCAAGGACTTTATGGGGTGGTATGGCTTCACATACCGACACCAGGTGATCATCCCACGCTGTATAGAGAGTTATGGCCCTTTGTTCACGCTGCATAGAGAGTTATGGCCCTTTGTTCCCGCTGTATAGAGAGTTATGGCCCTTTGTTCACGCTGTATAGAGAGTTATGGCCCTTTGTTCACGCTGTATAGAGAGTTATGGCCCTTTGTTCCCGCTGTATAGAGAGTTATGACCCTTTGTTCACGCTGTATAGGGAGTTATGGCCCTTTGTTCACGCTGTATAAAGAGTTATGGTCCTTTGTTCACGCTGTGTCACATTGTCTCCTGCATAGTGGTATATCTGACAGTCACGTTTCTCTATTACTGTCATTAGAAACAGTGATTGGTTCACCCCTGTAGTTTCACAATGAACTATTCCAGCTTTTGAATTGGAATAGTTTAAATATGTCTTCAGGTGCGAATGAATTAAAAAAGTGGACTGTCTCTCACTTATTGTTGCATCAACTCTGGACCGGTTAAATTATGTCATTTTTCGAAGAAGACTTTTTATCAGAATCTGTGTAACAAAACTCTCCGGTGCTAATATGGTACAAGGAAAACTTACACATTTCTTTCCAGGTTTTGCTGACTACCCGCTTATATCCTTTCATTTTGTCCTTTGAGTTTGCCCTTTTGTATCAATGATAAAATCTTATTTTGTTATTTGACTGACTTTACAGTCAGACGAAGGGCCGACTGACTGTTGTGGGGGCAGGAAGTCTACAGATCTATCAGGTACGGGAGGAAGACTCGGGAACATTTACATGTCGCGCGGTGAATTCCATAGACTCGGAGGACGCGGATGCAACTCTTACAGTACAAGGTATGGGGGACATATCTTCTTGTATTGATTCGAGGTAGAAGATGTGAAATATATTTTGATCGATTTTGTCTGTATTTTGAGTTGAAATGAAATTTTTCAAAAGGCTCCAATATGATTTTGTTTGATTTTGCGGGTGCATTTTTCATTTAAAAGAAATTTAAATTTTGTGTGTATATATTTTTGGTTGAAATCAATTTTTTTTCACTGGCTCCTCAATCTTCTGAAGCAAATATCAATCCTGTTTCTTTCAACTCCTTTAATAATCATTGCAATTTCTTATGATAGTGGAATATGGCATAAGGGAGGAAACTCTGATTTTATTTTATTTCTGACTCTTTTAATTTCCTTGAAGTACTTGGTTGAAAGGAACCTGTGTTTTATGTAAAAAATGTTTTCTGGATTTCAGATGTGTGGTAGATGTTTTAGAGGAAAAAAAAAAAAACTAATGAATGACCAATAGTAGTTTATAATTGATGTTGATGAAGAAATGAATGATTTCACTTCTTGTAGATCTTATTATTTTCCAGTTGAGGTTGGAATCATTTACAACATCTTAATTTGTAATCAGTCTGTTTAAAATGAACAATTTTATATAATAAGTTTAATGGCATAGACTTTCTTGTTTATTCATTTGGGCCAAAAAATGTGTTCCTATGAAATTAAGATTTTAATTTAAAAAAAAAAAAGGATTTATTTATTCTAGAAGTCAGAATTTTATTTCCAAATTTTCTGATATATGTAAAGCAAAATATTCTATATTCAAAAAGGAGAAAAAATTGTTTAAGTCACTGTGATAAACTTACATTTTTATTTACCAAAATCAGTTAACTCATTCACCCCTGTTATTTCATAATGAACTGTTCCAACCTTTGATTTGGAAGAGTTCAAATGAGTCTTCATGGGGGAAAATGAGTTTAGATGATCATTTGTATTGAAATATTCTGAATGCTATTAAAGTAGACAATTCTTTCAAAACTGACTTTTTCGTCAAACAAATTGTTTTTCCTGTTTTTAGCTTGATTAATGGGACAGAAACCTTCGAACCCAATTATTTCTGGAAATCAAAACAACCTTTTAACTGTTAATCTGTCATTATTTTCCCAGTTCCTCCGATGTTCCGAGAACAACCGTCCAATCACGTGGCCCAAGTAAACTCGGACGTCCTCTTCCTCTGCGACATTTATGGCGTACCAATGCCAGAGACGCAATGGTTAAAAAATGGGCAGCTTGTCAAAGACCTCAATGAATCAGACTACTTTCAAATCGTGGATAACAAACACCTTAGGATTCTGGGATTGGTGAAGAAAGATGAGGGAATTTATCAGTGTTTTGGAGAAAACTCTCTGGGCAGCACACAAAGAAGTGCTCAGCTAATTGTTGTTGATCAAAGTAAGTTTTGTTTTAGCCGTTACAAATTTCAAATATTAGGTAAGTAGGCATAGGAATGGACTAACTGAAGTATATATCTACAAATATTGAATGTAATAACTGAAAAATAGAAAGATATTTTACTGAAGCAGAATTACTTGATTCACTTGTTGGAATGGATTCAGCCTGATTTTATCCCATGGCTTGAATTTGATAATATCAAATATCTTTCTGGGCGATAAAAAAGTCAACAAAATGGAAATTAGAATTTCAATGTCAATTTGACTACAGTAATTCTGCAATTATCTCCCCTTGTACCTTAATTTCCTCCCCTTGTAAAGCATGGTCCAGTGAAACCTTATGTACGTGGATTATATAATGTCCACGTCTCATGTCCACAGAAAGGACATGAAGACTGAATTACTTGTCTGCACTGCAAATAAATCACATATTCTTTTTCACAAATTCTTACATTTATTATTCATCAATTCGAAAAAATAATGCAAAAATCAAGATTTACATTTGGTTTCAAAAATTGAATTTGAAAAATATTTTTAAAAAAAATTGAAGATTGATCTTTTTGTATTTATTCATTAATAAGCTTTTTTTCATTCTGTTTTTCTATTTCCGAAATTTTCATACATGAATAAGTGGGATACTTGCAGTGATGTGTTATATAATCACCAAATTTGTGTCAGCATTGGGGTATGCAGGTGAATATTGGCATACCTCTGGGGCTTATATACAGATTAACAATCAAATAATGGTTTTACTAAGATATGTCCCAAATTTAATTCCTGTATATCACCAAAATATTAAAATATAGAAAAAGGAATAATTAAGAACAAAAAGAAGAAAAATCATTAAGGGAGAAAGTTATGATATAAAGCTACAAAATTTTATTAAAGTTTTTTTTTTTTTAACTCATTCACCCCGGAAGTTTCATAATGAACTATTCCAACCTTTGAATTGGAAGAGTTCAAATGTGTTTTCAGGGTTGAATGAGTTGAACCAGCCTCTAACTGTTCCTGTGTTTGTGAACTGGCAAATAAATTTGACAGTGTTGACTCTACAGCCAAGAACTCTTTTTAACTTGCCAATTTATGAATAAGTATTAACTTTATTTCAGAATTTCACATAATCAATATATTTTCAAAAAAAAAACCTGATTTCACTAAGCTTTGTGTATGTGACCGTAAATATAATTTCTGATATAAGCCTCAGAGATATGGGATAGAACTATGAGTTCCTCTGTACCACTGTATATACATAAACCTATATACACTGTATGTGATATGCACCCAACTAATATGGAGTGATGAAACTGGGATTGTATAAAAGATCAAGTCCATTCTATTCTATACTGCTTTTTAAAAAAGTGTTGACTTTCAAATATAAGATTATTATAAATTTTAAGACTGATGAGTATTATGATAACCCGATGAGAAGTGCGGTATCAATGGACCAATTAAGTCTTCTCTATGGATGGGCCGATGAGAAGTCACTATAGTTACTGACCAATGAAAAGTTACCTTTTAATGAACCGTTGACAGGTATCTAGTAATTGACCAGTGAGGAGTTTTCATATTATCCACCAATGTGATTTTCTTAATTGATAGACCAATGAGAAATTCTCTCTGATTGACCGACATAATGGGTTCTAATAATAAACCAATGAGGAAATATCTGGTAATTAACCAATGAGGCATTATCTGGTAGTTAACCAATGAGGATTTATCTAGCAATTTACCAATGAGGAATTCTCTAGTAATTGACCAATGAGGAATTCTCTAGTAATTGACCAATGAGGAATTCTCTAGTAATTGACCTATGAAAAGTGATTTAATAATGGAACAATGAGGAATTCTCTAGGAATTGACCAATGAGGAATTCTCTAGTAATTGACCAATGAAAAGTGTTTTAGTAATGGACCTATGAGGAATTCTCTAGTAATTGACCAATGAGGAATTCTCTAGTAATTGACCAATGAAAAATGTTCTAGTAATTGACCGATGAGGAATTCTCTAGTAATTGACCAATGAAAAGTGTTCTAGTAATGGACCAATGAGGAATTCTCTAGTAATTGACCAATGAGGAATTTTCTAGTTATTGACCAATGAAAAGTGTTCTAGTAATTGACCAATGAGGAATTCTCTAGTAATTGACCAATGGAAAGTTATATTCTTTGCTTGTTATCTTTGGTTCCTCCACTTTAAAGTTGTTTGTGTTATATTTGCTTACAAGCTTCTACTTTTAATTTAAATATTTATTGCAAACAGACAATTAAGGTTGTTTGATAAAGATTTAGTGCCAAGTCACATATTTGAATTGATTTTAACTTGATTTCATATTTTAATTAATTCTATTTTTATTCTCCATTTTAATCACATTTATTAGATTCACATGTATTTTTTACAAAGAATTTAATTTCTTTCCTGTTCCCCCCACATAATTATATAATGACCATTCCATTATGTAAATGTGGGGGCCTCAGGTCCTATTAATGTGAAGGAACCTGTGGTGGGATAGATAGATATGACCTTTACACCCAAAAATCCTGTAGTTAGTTGTCATGGGAACTAAGGGAGATAATCCTTTCAATGGCTGACCTTTCCAACCAGACGCTATATTTGTAGTCTGCTGTCATTGTTGTCTGTAATGTAACAATGCATGATGTGTAAACATATATGCCTGATACCTATATGTAACAGTGTGTTTTCCTTACAACCCTTTTCTAAGTGTAGTTTAATCAACAACGAAAACATTTAAATGTATCAAAACTTGTAAAAAAAATAGCTGTTCAATTTTGATCCTCAGAATTTTCTCTGCGGGCTTGAAACTAATGCTGCTGATTAAATAATTTAATATATATCCCTAGCAGCTTACGTAGTTGATTATTCTAAAGCAGGTAATGACCGATTGTATGTCAACAGCTAGAACACCTTGTATACCATTCTATCACAGTTAAAACTGTCCAACCTTTCATCCATTCTCACCTACCACAGCGCCCTCTGTTCATTACCCATCAGTCCGTACCGATGTACATAGCAATGTCCTGACTCAATGGGCAGTGGGAATGACAAAAACATCTTATCCTATTGAAGCTCTGCTTTTGTCATTAATTTAGCCATCACCCCATAAATTGTCTGAACTCTGCCTTCAATGTTTTATTGGCTCCACTTTCAGTGGTGATTTGGCTCCTCTTTTAAAATTTCAAGTCACACCTACAATATCCTGGCTCCACCTTTAATTGTACAAGCCCCACCCACAATGTATTGGCCCCACCTTTAAATGTACAAGCCCCACCCACAATATCCTGACTCCACCTTTAAATGGACAAGCCCCACCCACAATATGTTGTCTACACCTTTCAATGTACAAGACCCACCCACAATATCCTGGCTCCACCTTTTAATGTACAAGCCCCACACAGAATATCATGGCTCCACCTTAAAATGTACAAGCCACACCCACAATGTATTGGCCCCACCTTTAAATGTACAAGACCCACCCACAATATCCTGGCTCCACCTTTCAATGTACAAGCCCCACACACAATATCATGGCTCCACCTTTAAATGTACAAGCCACACCCACAATGTGTTGGCTCCACCTTTGTCATTAATTTAGCCATCACCCCATAAATTGTCTGAACTCTGCCTTCAATGTTTTATTGGTTCCACTTTCAGTGGTGATTTGGCTCCTCTTTTAAAATTTCAAGCCACACCGACAATATCCTGGCTCCACCTTTAAATGTACAAGCCACACCCACAATGTGTTGGCTCCACCTTTGTCATTAATTTAGCCATTACCCCATAAAATGTCTGAACTCTGCCTTCAATGTTTTATTGGCTCCACTTTCAGTGGTGATTTGGCTACTCTTTTAAAATTTCAAGCCACACCGACAATATGTTGGCTCCACCAGCTATAATTTACGTTCATATTAGACCTCTTCTCTAAAGAGTTAGTGACATTTTATAAGCCTCTCAAATAATTGTATTTATTGTATTTAACTATGTATGTTGTATTTATATAGCATGAAGCATTGTGTGATTCTGTAGCATGTGTGATTTTGTGTATATGTTGCCAAACATTTAACTGTATTTATCCTCAAATAAGCCCGGGGCACCTTGTCTTAATATGCAAGGGCCGATATTTTAACATATGATTATCATCTATAAAGTCACTATAACAGGTTGGGTGGGGTTATTACTGTAATACTGTACAATGGGCTTATCAAAGTTACATTTATACAGTTATATTGGGGGGAAGGAGTAGGAAATTGGCAATTCATGGATGATTTTGAACCATTCTAGGAAATGGTGGTATCAATTCCTGGACATTGATATGAGTTAACATGGATAGATTTGCAGTAATTATGTCTATAGTAGGTTTGTATAAGAATATGATTTGGGAATGAAGAGAGGTTGAGGGGAGAGCACCCTATATTTTTGTTCTCCAAGAGATGTTTAAATAACTCTCATTTGGTTTGGCAGTATATACCTGTATCTTACTCACCTATATAATTTTACCTTATTTATTATAATCTATCATTTGCTTGGTTTGTATAAATCATAATTTCATTATTCTCATTGACTGTCAGGAAACCGTGGACTTCCTATTTACAACGAAGAAATGTTTTGTTTCAAGTGAAAAATCCTCAGAAATGTCATGTTTGGAAACAATTAAATATATTTGATAATATCTATTATTATAAGTTGATCAATCTATGCATAGTCAAATGTTTGTAACTATTTTGAAAATCATGAGTCAAATATCTCTGTATATTTAAAATTTGTTAATAAACATCAGTGTCTTGAAAACAACAGTTGAAGTGTCAGAAACTGAATATGACGACTTTCGGTACTCTATATAACATCAAAGATGTGTGTCAGATAATAGAATAAGTAATTGGAATTATCGAGTCTATTTTTCCTGATACATTTTTCATATGCAATTCCATCAGTCTTCTCTATATATACCAGCTATGCAAATTCTGTGAAACAGTATTTGTACAGCTTAATGTGGACTTAAAATAATATCATCAAAGACAAAGTTAAATATTCAACAAACCATTTAGATTAGATTGAACAAATTATTTCTTTAACAAGTTTGGAAAATGGGGGAAACAAAATAAAATTACAAAATTTTGACTGATTTCAACATTTTTGTCTTTGGTTTTTCATCTTAATCTGCTAAACTTAGATAAACCTCTAATATATATTTGCTTTACAAACTACAATTTAAACTGCTTTTATTTATTTATGTAACATTTCTTCGTGTTGTATGTTGGCTTTGTTTATTACCTCCCTTGTTTTTACGATTACCTCCCTTTTCCCCTGCTACAGTGGTCTCCCCTCCCACCCCTTCTTCCTTCACACGGCCTATACATCATTTAGGCGGTATCTACGGAGACCAGACACGCCTTCCCTCGGAGCCACGGGATATGAGAGCTGCCATTGTTTCCCGGAGATTTGTTACCTTGTCCTGGTCCAGTCCTAGGTCTACAGGAGAAGGGGAGACAGCCCCGCCAGTATACTCTGTCTACTGGAAAGAGTTGGGCTCAGAAAGGTAATGTGTCACTATGGGCCTGTGTAAAATTCCAAGCTAATGGATGATTTCAATTTTTTTCCTCTGACAACCATTCACATACTGTTTACTGTCTAACTTTTTGCCCAGTCAAACTTTCACCCTTTTCTCATAAAATCAATTTTCGCCCAGTGTTTATTTCGCTCTTTATATAAAATTACATATAATGTTGTCTACTTAAATTTAGTGTAATAATAAATTTGCATTTTATTATGGATGGCGTAAAAGATGAAAATTTAACTTCACCAAACATTTTCTGGTATTTAGCAACAATTTTAACATTAGAATATTTATTATAGGTTCTGAACACCTTTTTTGAAACCTGCCAACTGTTAAGATGTACAAATCTTTTGTAACCTTACCCTAGAGACACAATGTCTCATCCAGCCAAACAGTTCATGTTGCCTCTAGTGTCACTACCAAAAGTAAATAGTAAAATTTACATAAATAACATGGTATACTGAGAAGGCTGCAGCTTATATAAAGATTATTTTAGACTTGTACACACAATATGCACCAACTCTTTTAGAAATTCTTATTGTTTTATAGTAAAAAATACACATTACACAATCAACAGGAAACTGATTTAGTGAACCTTATGTCCCCTTCTTCAAGAGAATTCCTGTTCCCATAGTGTATTTTCATTCTTCATACCAGAATGACTATGAATTGCAAGCTGTATACTAGTATTATCCATCTGGTAATTTTTCTGTTGATATGGAAGCTAGAAACGGCTAACTTATGACCTGTTCATGTGTTAATAGGGAGCGTGTGATGAACACGACCCAGCTAGGGGCTAACATACAGCACCTGAAGCCCAACACCGCGTACGAGTTCCGTCTCCGTTCCTATAACTCCTACGGACCCAGCCCCACATTTGCCAGGATATCCATCACCACGGAAAAGGACGGTCAGTTTTCAATTTTTCAAAATGTTTTACACAATTGTTAGGACAGTATTGATCGGTGGAAGCTTTGGAAAAAAAAGTCTAACTGTCATCACTTAGGGAATTTCATGAACTACATATCATAAGCTCACCTGGCCCAAAGAGCCAAGTGAGCTTATCCCGTGGCGCAGCGTCTTGTTGTCCGTTGTCTGGTGTTCGTCATCCGTCGTCCGTCAACTTTTTCCTTTAAAACGCTACTAGTCCTGAACGACTGAGAACCCTTTGACCAAATTTGGTCTGGAGCATTATTGGCCAAAGGGATCTCAGTTTTGTATAAACGGAGGGTATGGCCCCCTGGGGGCAGAGGGGCGGGGCCAAATAGAGGGCAAATAGGTTAAAACTCTTATAGGGTAAATAGAGGATTTTTTTTCGCCTACTATACAAGTAAAGGGATTTAAACCAAATGCAGTCTGAAGCATGATTAGGGACAAAAGAATCAATTTTGTATAAACTGAGGTGTGTGAACCCCCTTCTTTGGGGCAGATTGGTGGGACCCATTAGGGGAAATAGAGGAAAACATCAAAGATCCTTCTCCTTTTGTACCGATAAAGGGATTTTGACCGAATTTGGTCTGGAGCATCATTGGCCAAAGGGATCTCAGTTTTGTATAAACGGAGGGTATGGCCCCCCTGGGGGCAGAGGGGCGGGGCCAAATAAGGATAAAATAGGTAAATCTTTAAAAATCTTCTTCTTCTCAACCAATTGAAGGATTTTTACTAAATTTGCCCTAGAGCATATTTTGACAAAGGAGACTCAAGTTTGTATAAACGGAGGGTGTGGCTCCCCTGGGGGCATAGGGGCGGGCCCAATAGGGGAAATAGAGGATTTTTTTTCTTCTACTGTACAGGTGAAGGGATTTAAACCAAATGCAGTCTGAAGCATGCTATAGGGACAAAAGAATCAATTTTGTATAAACTGAGGTGTGTGGACCCCTTCTTTGGGGCCCATTAGGGGAAAAAGAGGAAAACATCAAAGATCCTTCTCCTTCTGTACCGTTGAAGGGATTTTAACCAAACTTGTTCTAGAGAATCTTTGTAATTGTTCATTTTGCACAAACAAATTTTTGGGTTTGTTGTTATTTGAAGATGAAACACAAAAATCATATTTTTTTGTGAAAACTAAGTTATTTCAATGACAAGATGTGATCAATTATTTTTGAATTAAACTTTTACAGTAGAAAATGTTCGGGATCTCATCAGCAAATGAATGTCTGAATCCAGATTTCATTGTAACACTCGAGTAGTTGGCCAAAATTCCATATAATTATTTTGAATCTTTTTATCTATAGTTGATGTCCCTAGTCCACCTACAAATGTTCAAGTGACAGCGCTGTCATCCAATGCTATTCGTGTCCAATGGGACCCTCCTGTCCAGGCCAAGGGTACAATTACCAAGTATGTCATCATCTCGTACGAAGTCGGCCAAGACAGCGAAGAAGATCGGGATGATGTGCTGGAAACGGAGTACACGCTGGATAACCTCCAAAGTTTCCGGGAGTACAGCTTCCGTGTGTTCGCCAGTAATGAGATTGGAGACGGAACAAGCTCCAAGGAGTACACGTGTCGGACATTCTCTGCCAAACCCAGCGATGTGCCAACAAATTTCTCCGTAGAAACTTCCAGCTCTGAGGTTAGAATTTAGGTGTATATGGTACCTCACTGCAGAATGAACCTCTTGCCAAAAGAGTTCTGCATGAAGATGAATAACTCTATAGATTTTATATGATATTAATGGTTAAATTATACAGGTAATTAAATGGAGACAAAATTAAAAAAGAAGCAAATTCATGAATTGAAAGTTAAATTAAAAAATTAAAAGTACTAAGAAATTGGCATTTTGAAATATATCAAGGGAGATAACTCTGACAAAATCCACAAGTATAATATGAAAGGTAGCATAAGTCCTTAAATAGTTTTCGTTTGAACAGTATTTCCTTTTCTATACTTGATGAACTTCTCTGTGGAGGCTTCTTTAAGTGAAACATTTTCTCCATGGAAGCTTTTATCAAAATCTGGTTCAACATGAACATCAAATTCAATATCTAAAACAGTTCTTGTGAGCACTGTTATCTATCATTTTGTTTGCTGAAGGTGATGATTTACAATTTTCTGTTCACATCTCGTAGAGTATCATTGTGCGATGGGAACCTCCGCCAGAAGACTCCCAAAATGGTGTCATCACAGGATACAAGATCAAATACAAGAAACGTGGCGACAGTCGTGCAGAAACCGTGACAACGGACGGAAACAGACGTCTTTATGCTCTGACCGATCTGACCAAAGATACAGAATACCAGGTTTGTATTTCGACTGGTTGTAAAATATGTAGAATAATAATGGATCTATGCGTTGTACTTCTTTTTTTTTTTTTTTTTGTACGGTATAAAGAAATTTCAGGAGTTTGTGTGACAAATCAGTTACATATACTGTAAATTGACTTCTTTCCGACTTCATTACTTCGTTGAAAAATAATGTTGGAAGTAAAACATGTTTTAAATTCTGCAATATCTAGAAGATCGTATGTGAAATCCAAAATAATGGTATTTTACCTATCATAGTTATGTTAGATCACCTATTGCAGAGGATGAATATGAGCTTATACTGTACCCTGTGGTGGGTCATTCTTCCATTTACCAACAATTTCTTTAAACCACTTTGGAATAAAGTTTAACTGGAAACATTCTTGATGGGGAAATACAATTATACAATTTTGGAAGCTGACCACCTAGGGAAAACTTGGCTATTACGCTTTAAGTGATTTCTCATCATTGATATTTTACCCCTGATTTTTAACAGGTGAGGATATCGGCACTCACTGTCAACGGCAGTGGCCCGTACGTTCGCTGGTACAGGGTCACCACCTACCGAGACGACCTTGATGGTACGCATATAATTACCAAATGTCTTAATAAATTGTTTTTAACTTGCTTCAAAACGCTATACTTGTTGTATTCTAATGAAAGTTTTCAGTCATTAAATATTAAAATATTATTTGTTGAGGCTTTACATATGTCTGTATAATATATATTAAGGGATATACAAAGACAAATTCTGGCTGTTCACTTTTATTTGAATTAAATGTATCAAATAGAACTTACTTTTTTAATAGTTTTTGAAAATATTTTCATTTGTTGATATATTGAGAAAATATTGATGCTGATACGATATTTATGGTTACAGAGACGAAAGTGCCCCCGCCACCAAGGCTGATACGGGTCGTGCCTTACGATACGTCTATACGAGTGTCGTGGTCCGCCCCGGACCCAGAATCTAAGATCCTGGTACGCGGTTACATACTGGGGTATGGTAAGGGAATACCAGACTCTTACCGGCTGACATTGGACGCGGATAATCACGTTTACAACATCAAGAATCTCCGTAAGTAGTCCACGGACATTTTGGTTTGTATGCATCTTTCATGAATAAAGCAGATTGCACTCATCCTTGCTAAAAATTATAGAAAACATTTACATGGTACTAGCAGTGATTTACTGTAAGTAAACGCTTTATAGCAGACTCAAATTTGAGCTTATCATCCTACACTGTTCTCTATATGTCATCAATCGATGGCTTTTCCATAACTGTGCAAGGAACATCCATTAATTCCATGGAATTTCCATGGAAACAAATTCACCATAGAAATCTCTAGAGACAGGTATATATGCTGTTAGTTTTGTATTAAGTTACCACCCACAGGAAGTTCACAAAATAGTCTCATAACACAGGTGTTGTCATAACACAAATTCAAAGTTGTCTCTACAACAAAGGTGGTCTCTCAACTCATTCACCCCTGTACTGCGACAATGGACTATGATATCCTTTGATTTGGAACAGTCCAAACGTATTATTTATGGGTGTCAATTGTCAATGGATAATGGAGCAAACTAATGTAACTGACAGTGGTAAAATTTTGTCTAAAGTTTGTGTTTCTATCTTTACAGAACCAGCCTCCCAGTACGTTATCACTGTGTTAGCCTTCAACAACGTGGGCGACGGCGAACCCAAGTACCAGACCGCCATCACTAGTGAGGAGACAGGTGGGTCGGATTATCAAGGGAGATCACTCCTGCTATATTGTCGATATTCTTATATTCCATTTTTTTCGTATTACAGACTTATCTGCTCCTGTGAGCAGGTATTGATTGTTACATCATTAGTTTGTGTGAGAAAAATACGTTGTTTTCTCAAAAATTTGTGACGTTACTCTCACAAACAAATGATTTAACCAATACCTGCTCACAAGAGCAGACAACTCTGCAATATGCAAAGATGGAATAACAGCAGAGGAATTTTTGTCATACAGCCACTTTGATAGAAATATGAATTATAGAACACTCTTGCAGGTTTGGGGAAAGAATAGGCCTGATGTATTACACTGAGTAGGACTGTAACAGCTAGGTAGATGTAGTGGGGCTTGCAGAATTGGCTGTTTTCTTTCGTGTTTTCTGCGAACAAGACATTGTAACACCAAAATTAATCTACTGGCCCGTTGTAACACTTGGGATCTATATCTGTTCTTCTATCACTTCCCTACTCTTTCTATCTTGACTGGAGTGTCTCCCTTATATATATAAAGGTACCTGTCATATGGCTATAGCTTGCAAGGACTTTAAAACCCATACAAACACAATTATAAAATCTGGCCGTAATTGATGAAATAAAAATATTATTTTTGTACCTCAAAACATATAGTTGAGGGGGAATAAAGTTTGTATTGGAGATGGTCACCAAAGACGAAAATTTCTCTTTAATTCATTAAATTTGATTCCAATTTTAGTTACGGGTGTATTTGATTGTAAAACATGAATCAAATAGCAGGTACAATTTGAACTAACAGATCAGAAAGCATAATAGATGAAGTCAGAGACAAACTATGTGAAAACAAATTGAAGACTGACTGCTATTTTTGTTGCAGTTACGGAACAAGTTACTCCCATGATGCCTCCTGTTGGCCTGAAGACGATCGTATTGTCGTCGTCGACAGTTGTACTGACCTGGACCGATACCTCACTGGGGAATTCACAAACAGTCACAGACAGTCGGTACTACACGGTCCGTTACACGTCACTGCCCAATAACAACAAACGTTACAAGACGGTTAACTCGACTGATCTCAACGCTCACATCGACAACCTCAAGCCCAACACGCGTTACGAGTTCTCAGTCAAAGTCATCAAAGGCCGGCGCCAAAGCACGTGGAGTATGAGTGAAATCAACATCACCCAGGAAGCAGGTACGCATGGGTTTATTGTAATGTCTTCACCAGCTGTGTTAGGATATTTTTACTGGAAAATTTATTATATAGTTATAATGGTGTGATGTTTAAATTGTACCCGAAGGGTAAGCTTACAGTCATACTGTAAAATCATAAATTTTCGTGGAAAATAAAATTTGTTTATTTTGTGGATAACAAAAATCAACGAAATTAAACCCCCATGAAAAAATGAATTTGGTATGATATAGATAGGGAAAAATCAGAAATCAGCGAAGTATAATGTCATTGAAACAGGCTATAGTATATGAAAACCACGAAATTTTAACCCCACAAAAATTAATGATTTTACAGTAGATTCAATACTTGTTGCACTAGATGTACTGCATAGTTTTTGCCGCAGTTTAACTTTAAGCTTTTCCCACTTTAGTAGAAGTTTCCCTACAGATGAATATTCAGTAACAAAGTTGTAATCTCTTTGCAAATCATCTCAAATTGAGTGAAAAGATATCTTTATTTGTCTATATTTGTCCATATATATTATAATCACACTGCTGTTAATTCTTCTTTACAGCACCATCTTCAATACCAAGAGATTTGACTCCTGTTCCCAAGGAAGGAAACCCCACAGCTGTTACAATGAATTGGCAACCGCCCCAGAAACCTAATGGGCAGATTACAGGTACTGTGTAGAACTTGCAACTTTCTGATCAGTTTTGTCTGAAGTCATTCGAAAGCTATTTTAAGTTATTCAGAAAATACTGAAGCACATTTTAGGTCAAATATACAGTGATATATGGCCAAGTCTGAACTCTTAATAATCAATAAACCTTCGAAAGTCTGAGGTATATTCACGATTGTATAATTCATAAAGATTGTAGATTTATGCAACAGGTATGTATAAAGCAAGAAAAAGGGTATCCCAATGAAATGAATTCTCGTAATTTTTGCAGAACCTTTAGTTTTATTTCTAAATTCTCATATCAAGGAGTGTGTGCTGTCCTCATGTGGATTACAAAGGATGACTAAAGTTTTATATTCTCCAAATTTGAACCGGTATTCAAAACTTAAATAGAATCAAAATATTAAGGTAAATCTGATTTTTTTTTTGATCCACATAGATAAACATGTTATTTGAAGAAAACCTCAGTTAACCTTTAGTCTGACGTTTAGATGACCTTTGTTTGGTGACCTTTGACCTGTGTTTCCAGGTTACCTGTTGTTCTACACGACTGACCAGAGCCAGAGTGACCGGGAGTGGGTGGTCGAGGGAGTGTTAGGAGAAAAACTGTCCACAACGGTCAAGGGCCTCACTCCGGACACCACCTACTACTTCAAGATACAGGCGAGGAATAGTAAAGGCTATGGCCCAATGTCCAGCACCATCATCTATAAAACACCAGCGAGTAAGTTTCACACACGGGTGGAGGTAGCGACAGTAGTGATAGAGCTGGTTGTTTAACTCATTCACCCCTGAAATGTCATAATGAAGTATTCCAACCTCTTAATTGGAAGAGTTCACATGTGTCTTCAGGGGCGAATGAGTCGTTCGCTCAATTATTTCAATAAAAAAAATTGATCTTGGTCTCTGCAAATGTGATTGTTACAAAAGGATTTTTTGCTATATATCTTGGAAAACATAAATGTTCTATCTCATCAGATCCTTCAAATTTTCAAAAAATATATTTTCACCGAAATATGAAGAATAATGAAAATGGCCTCTCTTATAATTCTCAAATTGAAATTTAAAAAATAAGAGTCATTACTTCATAGTTAAGAATTGGATTTCATTTTTTTTGGAAATTTTCTAAATGAAAGCCTTGTCTTTATACATTTTTAAGTTAATTAGATTTTGGAAGTCCTGCAAATTTTGCTGATGTATAAGATAAGGGAATATGAATGTGTAGCGTAGAATCAAAGATTGGGTACAGATGGTGTGGGGAGCATGGAATCATTGCATGGGCAAGGGGAGGCTACTCTAATTGTCAGGACAACCCAGAAAAATATCTAAAAATGTTCTTACAATATTGATGTCATAACAATTACTAATACATATCGCTAGTTTTTATACAAAAAATTATTTGCAAATTTGCAATTTATTTACGTGAGAAGAAGAAAAATTGGAACACATATTTTCTGGCGCGGTAAATATTAGCCATGGGAGTAATGAGCGCACTGAAGTGGAATGTTGGTGAGCACTGTGTTCTATGTTTAGTATGGAACAAAATATATTCAACTTCTACGTTTCTGAGTTTCTGATTTTCGTGTGTGAAATTTGACCTCAGTGAAGGGGTCATATTTCAATTTATAACCAAAAACTTTGATAAAGGGCACATAGTTTTGGAAATTATTTTGACTTCCAGGCAAATTAGTTAAGGCTATATGCTGCCTTTCTTTTAAATTTATCTCCTTTTAAAAGAGTTCCATACTCGAAAATGTAAAATCGTTGTTACAGCTGTTTCAGAAAACTGTAAAAACATTTTATGTGTGTCTTTATGGATTTTGAAGATTGATTGAGGACAAATTTGTAGTATACACAAGATAACCTTTATCCATTTACACAGTAACTTTGTACAACGTACATGTGTACTGCACGCTAAATGTGAGGTCAGCTTGGAAATGTGTTGTTGTTTTGTGCTTTGTAGAGGATGGTACAGGTGGAGGGAAGATCAACCCAAACTTTATTGCTCCAGAGATTAATTACAACCCCAACGTAAAAGATATAGGTAAGACGACACAGAGTAATCTCCCTTGTATCGACAAATGTGAAGTACAGGGTGTATCAGTGCTGACGAAAACAAAGCAGCATCCTATGGCAAGACATGTAAAACATCATACAGTAATTCATATATCAACCAAAACCACCAAAAGAAATATCAATTTTAAGATATTTTTGAGTGTTTTTTCTTCAAATTCTGGGTCTTTCTTCTCTGGATTGGTGACATCAAAAATATTCAAAATGAGGCGGAATTTCATTGACCTTTTGGGGTCACGCTATGTTTCGTGACGTCATGAATAATCAATTTCATGATGTGTCGGGGTCAGTCAGGGTCATCAACATCATTAACAATTGCCATACAGGCTTCATATGCAAAGGAGAAATTAGTGGATGGTATATCGTGGTTTTACTGTCGCAAATTATTTTGATTGACCAATCAAATGCGGTGTTACATCTCAACTGCATTAGAATGTGAATTGGTTTGTTCTGCATCAGATATCTTCATCCTTATTCACAAGAGTTAATATCAAATTGCAATTATATTTTACAAATAGTTTGGTCAAGCTCATTTTAACAAGTACATATTTTCCGTTGTTCATTTCAGTAAATAAAATGCTCATATCTCAGTGTTTTTTTAGGTCAATATATTCATTTTTTGCGCGTGATCGTTTATCCTTGGGATAGTTGATACGATAATGCTGGACGTGGTCTACTACTAAAACTACTACTAATATTCATTGCTGGGAAGGCCATCATCATTGTCGATGCTATATACATCAGATCATGCACGTTATTAAGGGATGGTGTGAAGAGTATATTATCATAGATATTACAAGACTTAGAGAAAAGTTTGTCATTTGATATGGTTGACATTTTTGTTGCAGCGTTTGTTCATCTGGACCTCTGTCCTAACTTATTGTGAATTCAATTCTTGCTTTAACCATCTTGTATTTTAATGATGTCTATTCTACCTATCTTTACGCTATCCTATAATGACATTTTTTAACTCATTCACCCCTGAAGACACATTTGAACTCTTCCAATTCAAAGGTTGGACTAGTTCATTATAAAAATTCAGGGGTGAATGAGTGGGATTTCAGTATTTTTACATGAATATTCATGTTCTCAAATATCAACAAAGAATGTATCTTATCAAGTTATTTCTTCTACTTAAACAGAATTTTTTTTCTTGTGTCTGATAAAAAAAAAATGTTGAAAAAAAAACCCATCAGATTATCACTTTGATAAAACGAATTAAAAAAGATTTAATCAATTTTATTTTCTTCAGTTAGATTAAATAAATGCTGCTAGGAATGTTATTTTGGTTTCCTCTGTCAGATGAAATAAATAAATACTGACAATTGTCTGTGGTTTTCCTGTACTAGATGAACAGCCACAGGAGGAAGATGACAAACAAAACGACGCCGGTGGGCTCTCTACGAATGTCGTCATCATCATAGTAACATGTGTCGTGGGAGCTTCGTTTTGTATCGTCATCATTGTCGTCGCCATCGTCTTGTGTCAGAAAAGGGATAACGGAGAACGCAACAAACGCCCGTAAGTCCTTACTAATCTATGTTTGTAAAAATGAAGAAGTGTTAATATAGACACCTTCCAAACAGTCCCACTTTCTTTCAAATGTTTGTTGGGAAGAGTACACTGGTATTTGTCTCTACAGTTCATTAAGTAAATCATGATGTTTTTTGTTGGTTTAGGGAAATATTCAATATTCCAGTTTCTGACCATTCTAAGCAGGTTTCCCTCTCTCTCTGAGGATAATTATATATATATATATATTACAGGGACCTTGTGTATTATAAAAAATACTTTTTCAGAGGATACTACAATCTGTATTCCCCTGAAATTTCTTCTAGTATCAACAAATTATGGAACCTGTTTTCACAAATCTTTACCCAAATATTTTACTTTCCATATCATCCATGAGAACTCTTGAAACTATCCTTTATTTTGAATTGAGACTTTTCTCTGTATAACCACCAAAGGAAACTTCTCTAAACATGAGTATACATATGTATAAACTTTATTTATTTCACAACAATCTTGAAACAAGTTATTTCAAATTATATTAATCACTCTTGTTGGCCCGAATGTTAGTACGCGGGAGTCTTATTATGGGAGGAAACTGAAGTACCTAGAAGAAACCCAACGGGTCAGGCAGGTGACCCCATACCTTTTCACTCCGGTTGGGGAATCAAACCCTGGCCACCTCGGTGAAAGGCAAGTGCATTGTCAACTGCGCCACCCGACCACCCTAAGTAAAATGAAGTAAAACGTGACCAAACACTGGGATTGCAAGGCCCGAAGTGAAAGGGCTGCATACATATTCCGTCTTTGCGTATTGCAGAGTTATCTTCTCTTGTGAGCAGGAATTGATTGTTACGTCATTTGTTTGTGAGAGTAACGTAATCAATTTTGGAGAAAACGACGTAATTTTCTCACACAAACCAATGACGTAACAATCAATACCTGCTCACAAGAGCAGATAACTCTGCAATACGAAAAGACGGAATAGGTTGTCCATGAATCATTCAGGTCCTAATCCATCAAATCACCTATTTTACCTCCAGTCAAGCCGCCCAGCAGCAGTCTCCCAGTAAGGGTAAACTGGCCCAGCGTGACTTAAAGAAGCCCGATCTGTGGATTGACCACCAGCAACAGTTTGAGCTGAAAAGTGTTGATAAACCAGAAAGAAGTGAATCTATGTTGACAATGAGCACGTTACGACGGAACTCTGTCGACGGGAATAAATCTATAGATGAATTACCTCCGTATCATCCAGACATCGATAAAGGTTGGTATTTGTAGAGTTTTTGTGCCATTTCTACTATTGCATCATCAGTATTGTTACATTTTCCATACGCCCTAATATGGTGGCACAGTGTATTTGGTTTACAATTGTAATATATATTTATTATGCTACATAATAAAGGGGGGGGGGGGGGCAATGTAAGTCATTCCTTTAAGTCATTCCTATGTGATGCAGACGGGAGATACCTCACCTTTAGAATATGACTTTTGAAGTTTAAAACTTTGGTAAAACCTCATACTAACTCATTCACCCCTGAGATTGCATAATGAACTATTCCAAGCTTTGAATTGGAAGAGTTCAAATGTGTATTCAGGGGTGAATGAGTTAAATCCAAAAACCTAACCATTAGGTTGTGTTATGTCAGTCTACATTACACAAGAATCATAGCTTCTATTAAATTCTAGTTAATTTATGCTCTCCATTCAAGAAGGGTTCCACACCAAGTTTTATTTTTGTCTCCACATATTTATCTAGGCACCTTAAATACATTTCTTAGGGATGGGATGTCATACTTACCATCTCCACATGTGACATTAAATCATTAATTTGATAGTGGCGGAAAAAACAAATCCATTTTTCAAAAACGTGTATTTTGGTCTTTCTCCAGAATACCCAGAAATTACGTACCATCCCCATGGTACCCACGAGGATAGGTACACGCCCATGAGGCAACAGCCCATGCAGCACCAACCCACCGGGCTGATCCGACCCAAAGCCACCAAACCGCCGATGATGATTGGCGTGGAGACACAGCAGCCACAACATCGCGAACGTAAGTACGAGAAGCAGGCGTCCCTAGGATAAAACTTCAAACTGTCTTCTCACAGCGTTTGTATGTTCAAAATAGTAATTGTGTCAGTTTTTTAAAATCTTTCTTGTTCTTGTATACGACATGTTATCAGATTTGTTTTAGATTTTAAACTAAACTATAGATCATATGTCCCAAGTATGCTTCCTTTAATGATTCACCCCTGAAATTTCATAATGAAATATTCAAACCTTTGAATTGGAAGAGTTCACATGTGTTTGCAGGGGTGAATGAGTTAATGATTCTTTTGCTCTATCACTATAATAAAAAATAAAATGATCTCGGAATCTGCCAATGTGATTATTCTTCTTCAAAAAGAAAATCGGACAAAGACTCCCAGGTTGGAGCAATAACTGTCTGTGTGTGATATAAAAGGATTTTTGCTAAATATCTTGGAAAACATAAATGTTCTATCTCATACTTTTTACTGAAAAATGATGAATAATGATTATGGCCTCTCTTATAATTCTCAAATTGAATGTTTTGAAAAAGTGTCATAACTCTTGATATGTAGTTAAGAATAATAGATTTCAGCATTTTTGAGTTCAAATGTGTCTTCAGGGTTGAATGATTTAAAAACATACAAATGAGAGATTGACTGTAGCCATCACAGAAAAACCAATTTCAGAATTGACAAATCTTAAGTTAGCAAATTATTTACGATTCACTACAGCATCTGCCTGTACTTGTTTACAGCAATCGCCATGGTGACAGCCCTACAGAGCAGTCAAATGGCCCAGATGGAGACACCGCACGCTATGATGGCTCATACGCGGCCAGGCTTCCCAAGGACCCAGTACAACATGCCGTACACGACCTCGCCGCGCGTCAATACCGACCACTCTCATAATAGTAAGTCAGGATGTCCTCATGTTCTTCAAAGAAAAAAAATAGCATTATGTCTTTTTTAGGTCACCTGAGCTTTGCTCAAGTGACCTATTCTAATCGCTTTTCGTCCGTCGTCCGTAAACTTTTACATTTTCAACTTCTTCTCAAGAACCAGTGGATGGAGTTTTTTGAAAGTTGGTCAGAATCATCCTTGGTAGATGAGGCTTCAAAATTGTAAAATTGGGATTCCTACCCCAACCCCTGGGGCCAAGGCGGGGCCCCAAAGGGAAAATTAATCAATATTTCAAAAATCTTCTTCTTCAGACTCAGAGGTACTACACTCATTTCCTCTACGTGGAAAGAAAGATCATCAGGGGCTTTACTTAAATTGTAAATTTCAGGACCCCCGAGCTATCCGTTCTCCCTTGGGGAGGGGGTAAAGTTTACTATAGTTTATATAGGGAAATAACACTTTTGGGTATATTTTGACAACTTTCTGTAGGAAATTATTTTTACTTGGTGAGAATTATCCTTGGAGGTAGATGGTTTCAAATTGTAAAATTGAGATTCCTACCCCGACCCCTGGGGCCAGGGCGGGGCCCCAAAGGGAAAATTAATCAATATTTCAAAAATCTTCTTCTCCAGACTCAGAGGTACTACAGTGATTTTCTCTACGTGGAAAGAAAGATCATCAGGGGCTTTACTTAAATTGTAAATTTCAGGACCCCCGAGCTATCCGTTCTCCCTTGGGGAGGGGGTAAAGTTTACTATAGTTTATATAGGGAAATAACACTTTTGGGTATATTTTGACAACTTTCTGTAGGAAATTATTTTTACTTGGTGAGAATTATCCTTGGAGGTAGATGGTTTCAAATTGTAAAATTGAGATTCCTACCCCGACCCCTGGGGCCAGGGCGGGGCCCCAAAGGGAAAATTAATCAATATTTCAAAAATCTTCTTCTCCAGACTCAGAGGTACTACAGTGATTTTCTCTACGTGGAAAGAAAGATCATCAGGGGCTTTACTTAAATTGTAAATTTCAGGACCCCCGAGCTATCCGTTCTCCCTTGGGGAGGGGGTAAAGTTTACTATAGTTTATATAGGGAAATAACACTTTTGGGTATATTTTGACAACTTTCTGTAGGAAATTATTTTTACTTGGTGAGAATTATCCTTGGAGGTAGATGGTTTCAAATTGTAAAATTGAGATTCCTACCCCGACCCCTGGGGCCAGGGCGGGGCCCCAAAGGGAAAATTAATCAATATTTCAAAAATCTTCTTCTCCAGACTCAGAGGTACTACAGTGATTTTCTCTACGTGGAAAGAAAGATCATCAGGGGCTTTACTTAAATTGTAAATTTCAGGACCCCCGAGCTATCCGTTCTCCCTTGGGGAGGGGGTAAAGTTTACTATAGTTTATATAGGGAAATAACACTTTTGGGTATATTTTGACAACTTTCTGTAGGAAATTATTTTTACTTGGTGAGAATTATCCTTGGAGGTAGATGGTTTCAAATTGTAAAATTGAGATTCCTACCCCGACCCCTGGGGCCAGGGCGGGGCCCCAAAGGGAAAATTAATCAATATTTCAAAAATCTTCTTCTCCAGACTCAGAGGTACTACAGTGATTTTCTCTACGTGGAAAGAAAGATCATCAGGGGCTTTACTTAAATTGTAAATTTCAGGACCCCCGAGCTATCCGTTCTCCCTTGGGGAGGGGGTAAAGTTTACTATAGTTTATATAGGGAAATAACACTTTTGGGTATATTTTGACAACTTTCTGTAGGAAATTATTTTTACTTGGTGAGAATTATCCTTGGAGGTAGATGGTTTCAAATTGTAAAATTGAGATTCCTACCCCGACCCCTGGGGCCAGGGCGGGGCCCCAAAGGGAAAATTAATCAATATTTCAAAAATCTTCTTCTCCAGACTCAGAGGTACTACAGTGATTTTCTCTACGTGGAAAGAAAGATCATCAGGGGCTTTACTTAAATTGTAAATTTCAGGACCCCCGAGCTATCCGTTCTCCCTTGGGGAGGGGGTAAAGTTTACTATAGTTTATATAGGGAAATAACACTTTTGGGTATATTTTGACAACTTTCTGTAGGAAATTATTTTTACTTGGTGAGAATTATCCTTGGAGGTAGATGGTTTCAAATTGTAAAATTGAGATTCCTACCCCGACCCCTGGGGCCAGGGCGGGGCCCCAAAGGGAAAATTAATCAATATTTCAAAAATCTTCTTCTCCAGACTCAGAGGTACTACAGTGATTTTCTCTACGTGGAAAGAAAGATCATCAGGGGCTTTACTTAAATTGTAAATTTCAGGACCCCCGAGCTATCCGTTCTCCCTTGGGGAGGGGGTAAAGTTTACTATAGTTTATATAGGGAAATAACACTTTTGGGTATATTTTGACAACTTTCTGTAGGAAATTATTTTTACTTGGTGAGAATTATCCTTGGAGGTAGATGGTTTCAAATTGTAAAATTGAGATTCCTACCCCGACCCCTGGGGCCAGGGCGGGGCCCCAAAGGGAAAATTAATCAATATTTCAAAAATCTTCTTCTCCAGACTCAGAGGTACTACAGTGATTTTCTCTACGTGGAAAGAAAGATCATCAGGGGCTTTACTTAAATTGTAAATTTCAGGACCCCCGAGCTATCCGTTCTCCCTTGGGGAGGGGGTAAAGTTTACTATAGTTTATATAGGGAAATAACACTTTTGGGTATATTTTGACAACTTTCTGTAGGAAATTATTTTTACTTGGTGAGAATTATCCTTGGAGGTAGATGGTTTCAAATTGTAAAATTGAGATTCCTACCCCGACCCCTGGGGCCAGGGCGGGGCCCCAAAGGGAAAATTAATCAATATTTCAAAAATCTTCTTCTCCAGACTCAGAGGTACTACAGTGATTTTCTCTACGTGGAAAGAAAGATCATCAGGGGCTTTACTTAAATTGTAAATTTCAGGACCCCCGAGCTATCCGTTCTCCCTTGGGGAGGGGGTAAAGTTTACTATAGTTTATATAGGGAAATAACACTTTTGGGTATATTTTGACAACTTTCTGTAGGAAATTATTTTTACTTGGTGAGAATTATCCTTGGAGGTAGATGGTTTCAAATTGTAAAATTGAGATTCCTACCCCGACCCCTGGGGCCAGGGCGGGGCCCCAAAGGGAAAATTAATCAATATTTCAAAAATCTTCTTCTCCAGACTCAGAGGTACTACAGTGATTTTCTCTACGTGGAAAGAAAGATCATCAGGGGCTTTACTTAAATTGTAAATTTCAGGACCCCCGAGCTATCCGTTCTCCCTTGGGGAGGGGGTAAAGTTTACTATAGTTTATATAGGGAAATAACACTTTTGGGTATATTTTGACAACTTTCTGTAGGAAATTATTTTTACTTGGTGAGAATTATCCTTGGAGGTAGATGGTTTCAAATTGTAAAATTGAGATTCCTACCCCGACCCCTGGGGCCAGGGCGGGGCCCCAAAGGGAAAATTAACCAATATTTCAAAAATCTTCTTCTTCAGACTCAGAGGTACTACAGTGATTTTCTCTATGTGGAAAGAAAGATCATCAGGGGCTTTATTTAAATTGAAAATATCAGGATCCTGAGCTATCCGTTCTCCCTTAGGGAGGGGGTAACGTTTAATATAGTTTATATAGGGAAATAACACTTTTCGGTATATATTTTATCCATTTTCAGCAGAAAATTGCTCAAACTTAGTCAGAATCATCTTGGGTAAATGAGAGTTTTACTTTGTAAAATTAGGATTCCTGCCCAATCCCCAGGGGCTAGGGTGGGGCCCCAAAGGGAACATTTACCAATATTTTCAAATTCTTATCCATTGATGACATGAATTGTATTGTATTTCACTTAGTTTACATGCTGATTTCCACATCACATCTAAACAATAAAATAAAGCTACCAGTACCTATGATATAACTCAGGTGACCGCTAAGGCCCTTGGGCCTCTTGTTCTTTATTCTCTCAACTGAACACAAAAATGTTTCATGAGAAGGAATTTACAGGTATGAAATATAAAAAAAAACTATTGTTAAACGAGAACAATAGTAAGACAAGGACCTTATTGCTGAGTTTGGTGACAATGGCAGGGATTTCTACCATCATTACCTCATCAGATGTACATTACAGAAAAAAATGACTGCCATGACTGATGCATAAAAAAACGTCTTATTTGTTGTAATTTATTAGTAGAATGTTGTTTTATAGACTTAACATAATTTTAATTATATTACAACAGTTTCCAGTTTATAGTTTAGTTAATATCATGAATTTGTAAAAGACCTTATTTCTCTCTTTATATTTTATCAATTCTGTTTGTTTTATAACACTTGTTTTGACTTGAGCCTCTTAATGCTCTGTGTTGTTACCAGCTGCCAAAGATAATACATACAAAATATAGAAAATAGTTGTGTGGGGATAAAAGTATTTCTAAAAAAACATTAGAATGGTCCAAAGTCCGTTTTCAAGGTTTGGTTTGGTTTGGTATAAGAGTGTAGAGCAAACAGATCTAGCTGTGTTAAATTATGACAAGATTGTAGACGGATAAAACTGAATTATTAAATAAGTTGTATGTGCACATGCACTTTCATTAAAATTGGTATATTTTGACAAAAAAAAAAATATATATCTATGTCACATTTTAATGTACGCATGTATCAAATAATGACATACTTCATAAAGAGGTATGGATTATAAATATTACATAAAATCAGGTACCATACATGTCTATTAGATTACCTGGATGTATCACAATTAAGTGACCTGACGTGGCATCCCTTTAAATACCTGTATGGAAAAGTTGATTATGCACCACAGTAAAATTGCCAAAATTTATCGTTTAAATTACCTGTGTGAAAGTTAAATTATGTATCACAGTAAAAATTACATCAATCTATCTTTTCAATTACATGTATCAATTGACAGTTGATGCCTGTATGTATCCTGGTTAAGTCACCTGTATTTTCATTATTATAGCTCACCTTGATAATGATCTCACCTGGATGATATATATTTGTAATTAACTCACCTGTATTTATCATCGTTTGTTTACAGTGCATGGGATACCGATGGATCACAATTGTAAGTCACACACCTTTCTCAACCATATCTTCTGTCATTTACCATTCCGTCATCTAACCCATTCACCCCTGAAATTTCATGATGGACTATTCCAACCTTTGAGCTGGAAGGGTTCAAATGTGCCATCTGGGGTGATGAATGAGTTAAGTCCACTTTGAAGGGAACTGATAGTTCAGTCCAACTTGATGAAATTACGATTGTGGGTGAAAGACTGAACTATTAAGATTTCAGATGTTTCTTGATCAATACTTGGCTATATGATTCATTGAGAGAGAGAAAAGGAGAGAAAGCAGATGATTGGAAATGCTCTTGAAGAAGACTTGCATTGTGTTTTTGGCTCTGAATAGAGTTTGATGACGAAAAACTTTTAAAATTAAGAAAAGAAGTCTGTTTCACCGTTTCATTTTGAGGTCCTCCTTTCACTGATATTTGTAATACTTGAAATTTGTGAAAACCAGTGAAGAGTTGAAAAATTCATATGAATTCATGAATGCAACCTCACTACTTTGGTAATATGTATTACATTTGTCTGTCATGGCAAAACGTCTTGTGTCAAAATTGATGGAACCTTTTTTTGACAACTGAATTTTTTCCCTGAAAGATGTACTCAACTGGAGTTCAATTCAGTGTCCTTCTTGTTCAAAGTGCAAAAATAGAACGGAAAAAAAATCCTGTTTCACAAAAATATTTGTGTTTGACATGGAATCATATTTATTCAAATCAAATCCAGGTTATATGGTCCAGAAACGTTTTTGGCTGAACAGCAACCGGACCTCTGTTTTTATATATATTATATTCTTCTTGATGTATTGCGTGTTGTAACAAGTATTCAGTCTGTATCACTGCATGTGTGTGCAAATATTTTTGATGATTTTGTTTATTTATGTACATCTATTTGATTTTGCATTTTTGGCCTTCTGAACTCATTTACCCCTGAAGATACATGTGAACTCTTCCAATTCAAAGGTTTGAATAGTTCATTAAGAAATTTCGGGGGTGAATGAGTTAAAGCTTCATATATTCTGACTGGTTTCAAATCTTTATTACTGTAATTAAAGTAAATAAATGGCTGAAAATGAAATATAGCCACTAAAATTTGAAAAATAATTTGTACTGATTAATGAAAATATTTTTAAACCAGTCTAAAGCACCAATATAAAAGTATTCCATTTCCATTGGGTTTTAAATGTTTGAAACATGCCTTGAAACAATTCAATAGTACTGTAATTTATGTAAGAGTAAAATTTGAAACCTTAAAAAATGGAAGACTTTTGAAATATGAAGCAAGCAGAATCCTGTATTATTTCTGATATGTTTTGTGTTCATGCTCCCAAACTATCCCAGCATGCACTGCATCGTGACGTGTTTCCGTTGTTTCTTGCTCCGACAGATCTTGTGTCCGCCCTGGACGACGACGAGTCGAGCGTCAACGACCCGCTCTTAGATGAATCGTACAACGCACGAGTTGGATATGGCATGTATTCCTTACCCGCAACTCCAAGCATTTACTTACTGTGGCTTTAAACTTCATTGGCCTGTTTGCAGTTATATAGTCCCATTGTAATATCAGAAAGAGGATACTGTATTAAAGAAGTACATATTTTCCTGCCGAATTATCATGAAATTTGCCCCAGTGTAGAATTCACCCATGTATTATTCTTACCCATACTGCTACCTAGATAACTATTGTTTTCATCCAATGTGTGCCGTCTAGTTCAAGGAGGAAAACAACAAAAAGGGTCTATTTAACCATTGTAAAGTATAGGTTTATTAAGCACTTTATAAGAATAAAACAAAAGTGGAATTTCAAAATGTTATTCATTCCATAATGTATTTTTTCATTCCATTAAAAAAATCACATTCTTCAAAAAGAAAGTATCTGTATAAAATAGCACAACTACCATATACTTTGAACTTGTCCACAAACTAATTGCACATGCTCAAAAAACTTTGCAACAATTCTAAATAATTGATAATAATTTCAACAATATTCTTCCTTCCCTGCCCTAATCTTGTGTAGAAATACATTACACAAAAAAAATATGCGAATTAACATCAGAAAGTCTATTTAACTTGTTTGCTCAATGTTGGAGCTTATGCATGGCCTCACAGTGTTAAACAGATCTGAGATTGAGATAAAAAAGATATGAATAACAAAAACTGCTGATGTCCTAACGCACTGCTAACTCAATAAAGTTCACTGTCCTTGACCTTCAACAAACTATGTATCTGACCTTATAAACATAATGTGTCCCTGACCTTCAACATAACCTTCAATATAGTGTGTCCTTCCTTCAATATAGTGTGTCCTTGACCTTCAACATTATATGTCCCTGACCTTCAACATAATGTGTCCCATACCTTTAACATAATATGACCCTTACCATCAACAGACTATGTACCTGACCTTCAACATAATATGACCCTGATCTTAAACATACTTCATCCCTGATTCTCAAGAAGCTCTGTCCCTGACATACGCTGACCTTGAAAATACGTTCTCTGTCACTATGGTTGCATAAGCGTTGTCACAGATTTTTATATTTGCATCTTCTTTGCCAAATATAACTGATAAACTAGACAGAAAAGGAATTTGTTTTAACTGTACAAAGCGTAACCCTGTTATCAGTGTTGCATGGCTTTTAAACTAAAGCACCAATAAAATAAGCAAACAATACCAGCTAGTTTACTTACGACAAAGTGTTTATAAAAAAAAATATCAAAAGTCTTATGCATGTAATATAAGTCTCATAATGAAAAGAAGAAAAAAACTTCTTTTTTTTTAATCTTTCTTGTCAAATATATGACAGACTACAGTGTGCTCATTATATGCACATTTTCCCACTGGGGTAACACTCCCAGATCTATTACCAGAAACACTGAAGTTCTAAAGCTTTGATTGTTGTTTGGAATAAGAATAAGATTAAAAATCATTCATGGTGAATTATTACTCTGATTCATTCAAGACGTGTTTTGCAAGCTCTATTGTTTTTGCTGATTTTGCTTGGGTGTATTAAGAGCTTTTGTCAAAATCAGATATTTAGAGATCATTGAAAAACTGTGAATATAACAATTAAACATTATAGAATAATTGGGAAATAGATGTTTAAGGTGCATCCATAATTGCATGAGCTGTATGTAATGGGCCAAACGGGGGTAAATAGGTAATTCAGCTGTTCCAGTGATTTGGGTATAAAATATTTGACCTTTCGAAAAAATAAAAAAGATATTTCTTTGAACTATTGATAAGACCAAGCTTAGCCTAGCTGTTATTTAATAGGACGCTAAACAATATAAGCCAAACCAAACCCTAAATGTATCTGTTCTTAGTAAAATAAATAAATAGATATACTATTAATATAAACTAATATGAATGCAAATAAAATACTTAACCAGATTTTAAAGGATACATCTGCTTGAATTTTGGTTTTCAAGAAATAACTATTTGCATATTTAATGCAATTACTTCCCTTATGTGACAGTTACCTCCCTTTTGTGCACAGGTGACCATGGTGTTGCATGGATGTGCTTGAACAGGACATCCGTCTATCAACAGTCTGCATTGGGCATGCATCATATCTTTGGGAATCATGCTTATTTTTATGAGAAATTTATTCTCCTTTTGTTCCACTGAATCCACAATTACTTAACAAAGATGTAAACAGCTGATGGATAAAATATATCTTTAGCCTGTAATATAGAACATGGAACTTCCTTCTTTAAAAAAAAAAAAAGAAATTGATTATGACGTGAAAAGCTGTTGAACAAATAATCAGATTTAAAAATTCACTTTTTGGAAAAAATATTACTTTAAATATTGGGAAATGTAATTTAAATTATTGGAAAATATGAAAAAAAGAAATAAGATAGTAACAAAAACAAAATGAGGTTATTTTGTGGTAGGTTCAGCCAATCAAATGAAATATTATTACATGTAACATTAAAAGATTTTTTTTTAGAAAAGTTATAAATTGTGGAGGTCAGAGGACAAAGGTCAATATGTCAGTGTTAACAAGATGTGTGGCCAGCCAAGCTAATGTGCTGTGTACTAATTTCCTTCCAGGCCTTAAATCACCCGATATCTGCCCCAAGCAGAGCCATAGCCTACCCCACCTGGCTGGGCACGGGATCACCCCCTCTGGGGGATTGGGATCTCATGCCCTTCCCCCGGGGCTGATGTCCCATACCCCTAAGAAAGGTCAGCCTACAGCCATTATCTCGCCTGACCAACAGCTGCCTGGCGAGTGCGAGGAACATAAAAGTTTACCCCGATCCCTCCACCGACACCCGCTGCGGAGCTTTTCCGTGCCCAGCCCCCCGCCCCCTGGCAGTAATCCCCTGTCCAGTGTCCAACTCACCCCAAAACACCAAATAGGTACGTACTTGTCCTGTCCAGGGTCTGTGTCATGTATAGAGGGAGGAGTGGTCCATTATGGTTACATAGGTTAGCAGGATACACATTTTCTGTGAGGAGAGTATAAAAGTTGGGATACTTCTTTGTGGTGATTGTAACCTGATAATGTAACCACAAGGGAGATAACTCAAAATTGAAACCACAGGCAAGGGGGTTAATGCGATCATGGACCATTGGCAAGGTAAATAATCTAATAATGCATCCTTCGGCAAGGGAGATAATGTTATAAAAAAACATGGGCAAGGTTGATAATACAAAAGTATGAAACACATGAAGAGGAGGTTTTGAAATGATGAACTATGAGCAAGGGAGATAACCCAAAAGTTGACTATTGTTAAGGCATAATGCAACCACTGGCAAGGGAAAATCTCATAATGCAACCACTGGCATTGGAAATAATCTCATTATGCAACCACTGGCAAGGGGGATAATCTCATTATGCAACCACTGGCAAGGGGGATAATCTCATTATGCAACCACAGGCAAGGGGATAATCTCATTAAGCAATCGCTGGCAAGGGAAATAATTGTACAATGCAACCACTTGAAAGGGAAATATTCCATTAATGCAACCTCAGGCAAGGTAGAACATCTGATAATGCAACAGCAGGCAAAGGGGAAAAGACAGATATTGCATCCAGGAGGAATGCAAATAACATGAGATTGTACAGAATATATAGTTAGCACAGAACGTGGCCCAAGCCAGGGTTTAGAAAATCTGTAACTAATATTTGGTAGTACCTCCTCCCAGACGTGTTGATGTGTTGGCTTTTTATCCAGAGCTTAATTATTTCCTTAATTATATGCATGCTAGCTATTACATTATAATCACATTCCAAATCATTAGAACTCTTTTTTCCTTCATGTTTTCTAGAATTTTTACCATCCTTACTGTTTTGTTCATTTTGGTAGTTTTGATATTGTGTACAGTCTAGTTTATGGACGTACGAGGCACTAATGAGAACTTATGTAATACAGGTTTCAGGCACCAGTTTGGCAAATATTCTGTAACTTACGGAAATCTCCTTAAACTGAGACTCCAGTTGCTTTCCTATGGAAACCTTAAGGAATTTCCTGAGGTTAACTCATTCACCCCTGAAATTTGATAATGAACTATTCCAATTTTTGAATTGGAAGAGTTCAAATGTGTCTTCAGGGGTCGATGAGTTAAGGATCAATCATAAAACTGGTGACAGATTGGGAAAAAATATAATTGCTTTACAATTTTCATCCTGTTTGCAGTATTTTTCGTTTCTTCATTAACCCTTTCACCTCTGTAGACCATAATGGACTACCCCAGATAAATGTATGGTAGAGTCTACTAAAGTAACCTAGGGGTGAACAGGTTAAGTAAAATGTCAATCTGATATAGACATTGATCCTTACCTGTGATGATTTCTCATTAGCGTTCTCTTCCTTCCTTCCATCATCATGTGATTCATCTTCATTATCATCTTAATTTTGTTGTGAAATGTTAAATTGTTGACTGTCAGACTTAATATTTAGATATTAAGATTTCTTCGTGACATCACAATCAAAGAGTGTGCCATGGGAGTACTGTATACGGGGAAATTTACGCCCAGTCAAACTTTCGCCTTTTGGTAAAATCTATATTTTAGCAGGTTTAATTTTGCCTTCACATTTAATTACTATGTATATCTTATTGCTTACTAATTTGTTGTAATGATAAACTCACCCTCATGACAAAGGGCGGAAAAGGCGAAAATGAAACTGCAGCGAGAATTTCCGGGTATACAGTAAGTTTTATTTTACTGTATATTCAATATCACAACCATGTAACATTGTCTCCATCCAACTACGATTTACAGTAAAGCCACAGCAGACATCGAGCCCGTATAAGAAGCCTACACCCCCTATATCCAGCGTCCCCATTAAACCGCGTACAACGATGCCCATCATCAGCACCCCTAAGGCTCCCGATGTGGTCCTTAAAGGGACTCAAGAGGATCCCGACCTTCAGGTAGGTTACACCCTTAAAGGGAGTCAAGGGGATCTTGACTTTCAGGTAGGTTGTACCCTTAAAGGGACTCAAAGGGACCCCAACATTCAGATAGGTTACACCCTTAAAGAGAGTCAAAGGGATCCCGACCTTCAGGTAGTTTACACCCTTAAAGGGAGTCAAGGGGATCTTGACCTTCAGGTAGGTTACACCCTTAAAGGGAGTCAAAGGGATCCCAATCTTCAGGTAGGTTATACCCTTAAAGGGAGTCAAAAGGACCCCAACCTTCAGGTAGGTTACACCCTTAAAGGGAGTCAAAGGGACCCCGACCTTCAGGTAGGTTACACCCTTAAAGGGACTCAAAGGGATCCCGACCTTCAGGTAGGTTACTCCCTTAAAGGGACAAGGAACGTTGGTAGTATGTTACACCTGTTCAGTAGGACAGAGAAGTAAGTTTAAAATCAGCCCTTTTGTTATTCATGTGACGAATACATAACTGTGCCTCACATATTGATCGAGTGTGCCAATTTTGAAATTGTCACTTATTATTGTTGTCAGACTTGATATGACTTCACTGTTGCTTGGTTGTTAACCTTCACCTCTGTATACCATAATGGACTCATCCATATCAATGCATGGTAGAGTCTACCTAAGTTACATAGGGGTGAAAGGTTCAAGAAATAAAATAACTAACTAATTAAACTTCAGGGGAAGGTAGATGTAAATTACACCTTCAGAGTGACAGGGAATTGAATCGTCTGGTTAAGGATACTTATACCAAATACTGTAAGTAATTTTTTCAAGCTGTTGTTCCATGATGACGATATCTTTAATGAATCGTTCCTGGAAAGTTAACTGTATCATGATGGATTTAAAAACAAAAATAAAAGATGAAATAAACAAAATATTCAGTGTAAAATTTCTGCTTGGCCAGACCTGGATTTGCACCTCAGATCTCAGATTGTTATGCCATATCACTCTACCCAACTGCCCTACCTGGTCAGCAGAATTGCTTTGGTCTAAATGTGCTATACATGTAGTGATATATATATATACAAAACAAAATTCAGGGGAGGTTACTCTATGTACGACACTGTGGAATTTCAATGTTTTACCTGCAGTGGGGACAGGGAGTTAGATCAAAATTCAGGGAAATATAGTAGGTTATACTTTACTTTAGGTTGGGAGGTATGGTATTAATTTCAATATATCAAAGTACTATCTGGGGGACAGGGAGTTAGTTTTAACTTCAGGGAGATAGTAAGTTATACTGTACTTTAGGTTTGGGGGTATAGTAATTATGTCAATGAAACAGAAATATCAGTGAATGGCCATATCAAATTACTAGTTCAAAGGTCACAGGTAGTGATAAATAGTCAAACTAAATTAAGAATCAAATTTTGCTGGTGTGAACAGTTTGTTTCTTTTGTTCCAGAAGTCAGTCAGCACAGAGGAACTAACAGCAGAGATGGCCAATCTAGACTGTCTAATGAAGGACTTAAACGCCATCACACAGCAGGACTTTGAGTGCTAACCCACCTTATTCCACATCATACAAGGGCAGACAACTCGCATGTTAACTCATTCACTACTGAAGACACATTTGAACTCTTCCATTTCAAAGGTTGGAATAGTTCATTATGAAATTTCAGGGGTGAATGAGTTAAGACTACTCATCATATAAGTGCAGATAACTCGTTTGTGGATCAGAGTTCGTAGAAGTGTGGATAATTTATTTGTTAGAAGAGTTCGCATCAAAGGGCGGATAACTTATCTACATGACTAAACATCACTGAAGGGCAGACAATTCATTTGGAAAGGAGTGTAACTCGTCGAGCCATATTTCATTTATTTTCACCACACATTTTTGTTCTGTATACAGCCACACGGATGTAGTCCTAAGGCACTGCTGAGACCCCACCAAGACATCATTAATTTAGAAATTCGTAAGGGGCATCATTGATACAAACATGTGCAGAAACTTTCCATTATTGATGCTTTCTGATTGAACATTTCCAGGATTTTGAAGTATGATGTACTAAATCGAGGCAGTAAAAACAGTTCATCAGAAATCAAATCTGTGGATCCAGTAATTTATTTGCATTTTAATGATGATGTCATTTCGTGTCTATGTGATGGTGATGTCACTTCCTGTCTATATGATGGTGATGTCACTTCCTGTCTTAGCCACAATGGCACTTCCTACTGTGAAGTTACCACTTCCTCATAAAACTGTTTATATGGTGAAAGATAATGAGTGTATGTGTGTGGGTGTGTATCATATGGAGTTACCATTGAAGGAGAAGGATGTTTTGACATGTAATTATGTACAAAACCGAGACCCATTTTAAATATCAGACCATTGGCCTTGTATTATTTCAACTGCGTACGAAACCAGGAATCTTACACTTTAATAAACCATCCTAATGCCGATATTGTCATAGATCTTTTTAAAAGAATTAAATTTCTGTTTAATTTTGATTGCTTTAGCGACCCATAACCGTTGATATTTACATGGAGTTTAAAATTAGTAAAATATTGTGATTAAAGGAAATTTTTGAAATCAATATTTTTGTCCGTTATCTATCTCTTATTGTTTTAATATCAGATCTTTTAAATTTTTTTAATTTTTTAATTATTTTAAACAATACTGCTGGTTTCAGCATAACATCTGTACATTTCTTTGTCCATATTATTGTTTTACCTTGAAAATGAATTTTACAGGTAACAATTTTAAGTTTTAGAAAATTAAAATTGCATGTTTTTGCTGAAATACTGTTTGTTTTTACTTGGATAAGTTAATAAAGAAAACCTATTCTATGGATCTGTGTTATTTTGTTAAAAATAATCACCTTGTTTGTCAAAAGTGTTGTGATGAAATAAAAGTGAACTTGTGGTTTATCATTTTTAACCGAGCCAAAATGAACAATATTTATGTGACATAGTATTTTGTCAAAGTGTGTTATATTTGAGTTTATACCTTCCAGGATGTCAAACTCTGTTTACTTGTTTAATTTGTTGTGGCATTTCTATGCCAGACTAAACACGCTAAGAGTCTTCTTCAAACATTTTGAATTTGAAAAAGCTTTTTTGAATAAAGTCAGAAGAATTTTGTTTTAATCATTTTGCGTTGTGTTTATGTTAACATAATGTATTGCATGTACGGCCACTTTATTGAAAACTTTTCTTGTCAGGCTTCCATATTCAAAATAAATTTCATTTTGATCATCAGTTGAAGTGGTTGTTTTACTGGTACGCAAGGAGGTAATATCAATTTTAGAGAAAATATTAGATTGGTTTTTTTTGTTGATTGAATCATAATCATTTTCGGTACCTGCCACATTTTTAACAATATCTATTTGTCTTCCTGCCACTCGTTAAAATGGGATTTTCCGTTGTTTTGTATTTATGAGAAACCATTTTAATCCATAATTGATTTTCTGTTCTGATATCGGACACTTTATTCGTTGTCGTTTTAAAAATCTTTCCTTCACATCTCAAAATTATAGATTTTATCGAAAACCAATTTATACCAGTGTTGATGTTGATGAAAAGAGCTGTATCGTACTCGGCAAGAACCGTGATGTGAGATAGCATATCCATGATACTGAGAAACAGGCGTTAAATGTATGAAAGGTCACGGGAGTTTGTGTACGAGAGGTCACGAGAGTTGAGGAGATCACAAGTGATGTATGTAAGTATATATCATAAAACTGGTGAAATTGTATCAGATTGAATATTTTTATAATGTATCATTTTACCGTAAATATGTGAAAAATTATCATGTTTTAATGTGAATTTTGATCTTAGGTACATGTATTGCTTGGTGCTTTTTGAAACTCGCCATAGAGCAGGTTAAACTGAACCCTTTCACCACCGTAGACTATAATGGACTCATTCATATCACTGCATAGAAGAGTCTACTAAAGTTACATAGGGGGGAAAGGGTTAAGGAGAAATTGTATTTTATTTGGAACATAATCCAATATCCCTGAATTTTGGTTTCAGTATTTTATTTATAGAATTGCTGTTGACAGGTAGCAAAATTTACCTGGTATTCTAGACCAAAATCTTTGGTTTTTGGAACTGCAAAAATGCTAAAACATGTTTACATTTTAAATATCATTTGAAATGTATAAAGTTTCGAAATATCTTATATTAAAAACCTGCTCTGTGGCGAGTTGTTGAACAGGAACAAACGTTAACAACCTCTGTGTATACTACCAGATCTAGAATCAAGACGAACTTTTATCAAATAAGGACGTATTACTTTGTTGTGCACTGCTGATTCAAATACATGTCTTACTTTGTCATAACAGAAACTGATAAATGATGATGAGAGATAAAAATATCAACTGGAATTTCATTTATACCTATGTAACAAGTATATATTTTTGTTTAATTTGTGTAGAAATCGCTAAATGATGAGAGATGAAAAGTTCATCTTTGGAATTTAATTTAAAACATTTTGTTTTTCAAATATCAAAATTAACGATAGAATTTTATATGTTGGAAAAGAATTTTAAAATAAAAACAATGTGTTTTTTTGTAAAAAATTGTAAATTAGATAGGATTAATAAAATTACAGGTTATTGTCTTATTGGATAATGATAAAAAATGCATGGTAACTGGATACTAAACCATGTAAGCAGGATGTTTATTAGAGTTAGTTGTGTACTACAAGTCTGAACAGTTACTCCTAGGCCAGTTGGCTGTCCAGTGTAATATCACACAGTAATGGCCAGATCAAGGTTAACCCTTTTACCCTTGTAGACCATAATGGACTCGCCCAGATAAATGTATGCTAGAGTCTACTAAAGTTTACTAGGGGTGAAAGGGTTAAGGTTGCTAGCATGTATTCACGTTTTGTTTTTTGTTTTTTGATGGTTTAAAACATGTGTAAACCATAATAAATATCATTAGCATAGTTTTGTGTCAATATTGTAAAACATTTTATGTAAATAAATTTATACCAAACCCAAGACTGGTGTGAAGTGGAGGTGAATATTTATTTGTAAATAAATGAAGAATGGAATGAGCTTTGTGAGAAACCACGGTGCATTGTTTCTTCCTAAAGCATTCTCAAGTGTACAATTATGGACTGCAGTCGAGGAGGACATGAACATTTATTAACCTTAGTTTATTAACATTAGCACAAGGTTGATAAATAGCCATGCTTACCCAGTCTGGAGGTCGTGATTGTTTCATAAACCTCGCAAAATAAAAATTTGTCCATGTCAATTAGAAATGATTCAGAAGAATTCAGATTCAGAAGACTAATATAAGTCAAAAATATTTTACAGAATTTCTTTAAAAAAAAATGTGAGAATTTTTTATCCAGAAACATGTTTGCTTGTTTAGTTTCAGATTATTTTATTTCCCTGTTTGCCTTTATAAAAAGTTATTGCATCAAAAAAAGAGTTGTGATATACAAAAATCATTTAGACAAGAACTTTGACCCATTCAATGGATGAAATAATTTTGAGTGGGAAATTCATTTTGTAACATGCATCAATATACCATAATTGTGTTAGTCTTCGGAAATTTGGGTGTAAAGGGCCAGTTTAAACTTTCATGAAACCTTTTAAATGATGATGTAAAATTGAGTTTGCATGGCACTGGTTGTCATAGAATCATGCTCATAACACATTGTACTTATATGTTGCCAAGGTAACCACTCACCTGTTACCATGATAACGCTTCCTTGATTATGCGTGGTCGGGTAAGAAGTGTTTCCTGGCGTTATACACAATATTTTTGTACCTGCTGCTTCGTTATGTTTTAAAACGTCTGCCATATTCATTGACAAAGGCAGACCCATCTGATATGCTAAGTGGAACTGGTAAATTATCCAAATTATTATTATTTAAACCCAATTCATACCTCATTCCAGATTTTGTTCTTGCATAAATTGATTTCTGATAAATTAATTCCCTTTTCATACAAAATTAGTTTCAAAATTTGCCATTTAACCCTTTCACCCCTATGTAACCTCAATAAACTCTACCATATATTGATATGGAAGAGTCCATTATGGTCTATAGTGGTAAAAGGATTAAGCAGTTTTGGCATTGCTTCCTTATTTTCAATACTGAAGAACTGAAATAGTCTAAAACATGGATACAAGTTTCAGTAAACACCAGATGTGTCTGCCTTTATGTTTAATTACTGAAATTTCAAGCGAATTTTATTTTGTTTCCATTGTTTGTCTTTGTGTAAAACAGGGTCACAGTCTATTACTGCATATAGTCCGCCTTCATTGTACGGTCACGTGACGACGCTTCCACGATAAGGTCACCTGATAAAGAAATATGTTTTCTGAAAAGTCAACAATAAGAATGTAACTGTTTTATAAAGGTCACTCTGCAGTAGTCAGTCTTTGCATATTAAAAACAAATTTTGGGAATGTTAAATTCTAGATGTTATTGGTTTATAATTTAAGATATTCTTAAGAAACATTATGTATTGGAAACTAAAAAACATTATGCCATATTAGCATATATGACAAGTAAATGACTGCCTGTCATATCTCTCTCTATAACTCAGATATTTTACAATTTAATGAAAAATATAACAAGATACATACGAAAACCTCATGCCATTAAAATAGTAAAAATGAAAAGGGTTCATATAAAAAAAAAAAATCCATCTAGAAAATATAACAGTTAGAATAGCTGCATTGTATATTAAAATGAACAAGCAAGAACGTGATGTAACTGAAACAACTACTAGATTTATTAGATTTAACCAGGTATGATTTGTATATTTTTTTCATAATTGATAAAAATTAGATTGGAGTATGATATGTGACAGAGAGACCCTGTATAGGTAATACTGACTGATAAACTAGCCAAATGTGTATACAATGATCTGTCGAGGATATCACCATTATGTCTGTAACATGTTTTGTGAAGATGAGAAAACAATTTTGTAGAAAAAATAAGGATGAATAAAATTACATTTTTTGTACATAATTGTCTATTTGTTATATTTAAGGGGATATTCTGTTGATGGAATTAACTTATGAAAGGTTTATTAAAGTTAACCATAACTCCCAACAACCCAGGAGGAGTATAAAATGGTCTGGGGTGGATGTAGCGGTGTCTGTGATGTAGCATTCAAGTGAGGTGACACTATAAAAGATGCAGTTGGAAGCACAGTACCACTACAAACAGAACACAATACATATCCAGCACACACGCAGGCATACCCACATAGGGAGATATTAGCCAGGTGGCATAGGACTAGTAGTTAGCGCCCGATAAGGCAGCTCCTGTAAATTCCTCAAAATTTGTATATCCTAATTATTAGCTCACCTGGTCCGAAGAACCAAGGTGAGCTTATGCCATACCGTAGCGTCCATCGTCCGTCGTCTGTACGTCAACAATTGCTTTAAACAACTTCTTCTTCTTAACCACTGATTGGAATTTAACTAAATTTGACTGGAAGCATCCCTAGGTGGAGGGCGGGGCCAAAAGGGGGCAATTTGGCTATATTGCTTTATGCAACTTTTTCTCTGAAACCAAGTGATAGATATCAACCATATTTGACTGGCAGCATCCCTAGGCAGTGGGGATTCAAAATTGTACAAATCGTGGGGCTGACCCCCCCCATGGGGCTGAGGGGTGGGGCTAAAAGGGGGCAATTTGGCTATATTGCTATAAACGACTTCTTCTGTAGAACTATACACTGGATATCAACCATATTTGACTGGAAGCATCCCTAGGTGGTGGCGATTCAAACTTGTACAAATGGTTGGGCTGACCCCCCAGGGGGCTGAGGGCGGGGCCAAAATGGGACAATTTGGCTATATTGCTATAAACGACTTCTTCTGTAGAACTATGCACTGGATATCAACCACATTTGACTGGAAGCATCCCTAGGTGGTGGGGATTCAAACTTGTACAAATGGTGGGGCTGACCCCCCAGGGGGCTGAGGGCGGGGCCAAAATGGGACAATTTGGCTATATTGCTATAAACGACTTCTTCTGTAGAACTATGCCATGGACATCGATCATATTTGGTCGGAAGCATGCATGGGAGGCAGGGATTCAAAATTGTACAAATGGTGGAGCTGACCCTCCGGGCTAAGGGTGGGGCCAAAAATAGTTTATTACTTGGAAATGGTTGAGATCCCCACCATATAACCATATATACAATTGCTGAGTATAAAGAGAAGAATGCACATTTGCTTTCAGGATGGCTCTAGGGTCTGGCCCCACCCCTGGAGACATAGTCACCGGGCCATAACTTTAAAACGGTTGAGATCCCCACCCCAAAACTATATATACAAATGCTGGGCATAAAGACACGAATGCAGTCATGATATTATAATAGACCCTGGTGTTTGACCGAACCCCTTGGAACCTAGTTTCTTAGTCACAGCTTGGAAACAGTTGAGATCCCCATCCTATAACCGTACATATAATTGCTGATTATAAAGAGATGAATGCACATATGCTTCCAGGATGGCCTTGGGATCTGCCCCACCCTTGGAGACTTAACCCCTGGATCATATCTTTGAAACGGTTGAGATCTCCACCCCAAAACTATATATACAAATGCTGGGCAAATAGACAAATGCAGTCATGATATTAGAATTGATCCTGGAGTCTAGCCACAACCCTAGGGACCTAGTTTCTAAGTCACAGCTTGGAAACAGTTGAGATCTCCACCCCATAACCATACATAAAATTGCTGGGCATGAAAAATCTAATACAGATTTGCTACAAGGATTGACCTTGGGGTCTGGCATATTCCCTGGGATCTCATTTGGAAAATATTTTGCCATGATTGCTTAGATATCCAGGTGAGTGATACAGGCCCTCTGGGCCTCTTGTTATATATTATTATTGTGATTTCAATACATTTTATAACTGTTACAAATACAACTATTCCCATCTCATCAACGAGAATTACGTCCAAACACCATAGCATTTACTAGCATAACAATACTGATAACAATCACATCATGTCTGGTAAGTTATAGTTGATGGGAGCTTCATCAGACAGAGCCGAGGCTGTCGGTGGAGTCCCTCAGGGAACGGTTCTCGGGCCACTTTTATTTCTCCTCTTTATCAACGATCTTACAGACTGTGTTACATCGAAGACGAGACTATTTGCAGATGATGCCAGAGTATATAGAGAGATCAGTTACCAACCTGACTGTGAAAAGCTCCAACAAGATCTTATTGAGGTTGCTTTATGAAAGAAAACATTATTATTATTATAAAATCAATCCATTATGTCCATATACCTACCATCAATGGAGAGGACCTATATAGGCTATAAGCCTGTTGTCCAATCCTTTTGACAGTGCAACATTCTTCTATGTCAATAAAATATGTTGAAATGAAAGAAAACATGGGGAATGTCTTTCCATCCTGATAAATGTAATGTCATCAGAATAACGAGGTCAAAGAATCCCATCACCTATAATTACCATCTAAAAGGACACCAGTTAGAATCAGCAGACACAACAAAATACATGTACCTAGGAGTGGACTTCAGCCATGATATATCCTGGAATCATCACATAGACCGTACTGTCAAGAAAGCCAACAGTATGCTAGGTTTTCTTAAAAGAAACCTCAGAATAACAAGCCAGGAAACTAAATCAGCGGTATATATTTTACTTTTAGTGAGACCAAACATGGAATATTGCGTTTCGTTATGGAATCCTCATAATATGCAGTCTAAACACGAACCCGGAGATGGTTGGTTCAACGATGAGCAGCTAGATATACACCTAGCAGATACTAGCAGTGTCACCGATATGCTCGAGAGTCCCACGTGGGAGTCACTGGAGACCAGAAGAACACACATCCAACTGGCCATGTTCTTC